TAATATTTGTTTTTTACTACTGATAGAATTATAAATATTTTTTTTGAGTCTAACTAATTATTTACATTTACTACTGATACAATTGAATAAAAATTTTAAGCAATTCTGACTAAATATTTAACTGTACTACTGATACAATTGTAAAGTTAATTAATAAAAAAAAGAAGTTAATTAACAAGTCTGATTAAATTATTTACTTGTACTATTGACACAATTACAAACGTAAAAAGTCTGACTAAATATTGATATTTTCCACTGGCAAAAATTTATAAAAAAAATTAACAAATTTTCTTATCAAGTCTGACGGAATATTGACTTGTTCTACTGAAAAAATTTCAAATTTGAATAAATAAATAAAATTTCATTTATTAAGAAAGTCTGATTAAATATTGACTTGTACCACTGTCAAAATTACAAAAAGTTTTTAAACGTCTGACTAAATATTTACTTGTACTACCCACTAAATTATAAATTTGGATTTTTATTAGCCTGACTGACTATTTACTTGTACTACTGACAAAATTTAAAATTTCTTTATGTCTGACTAACTGTTGACTTGTTCTACTGCCAAAAAATTCAAAGTCTGACTAATTATTTACTTTTACTACTGATACAATTGCAAAATATATTGTATATATTTTCATTTATTTGTTGCCAAAATATATTTTATTTCATTTAAATAAAAAAAATTTATTTAAATCAAAGCAAAAAATTTGAGGCAAAGCAAATATTTATTTATGACAAATAAAATTTTTATTTAAATAAAATAAAATATATTTGCAACAAATAAATGGAGTTAGTAGGCAGATATACGTTTAGTTAACTCATATTTTATTTGTTTAAAATAAATCATTTCTCTGGATGTACACTGAAAAAAAAGGATTGGTATTGACAACTAAACGTTTGGTTGGTATTTAAGCAACCAAAATTTTTTTTGTTGAATCAACAAAATTTTAATTGTCTCAATCAAAATTTGTTTGACATAACCAAAATTAGAAAAAAAGGATTTTTGTTGTCCTAACTAAAGTTTGATTGGGACAACCAAAATTTTGTTGATTCAACAAAAAAAATTTGCTTGCTTAAATACCAACCAAACGTTTGGTTATCAATACCAAACCCTTTTTTCAGTGTACTAAAATATTGAAAGTATTCGCTATTTTAGAGAAAAATATCGGTGTTTCAAATAAAAAAAAATTTTCCCTACACGCAAAAAAATCTTCATCTGAAATAGCGATAAGTTTCTCTGGAACAGCGATATATTTCTCTAGAATAGCGAAAACTTTCGCCGTTTTAGCAAAACATATCGCTATTTAAGATAAAAAAAAAAAAAAAAAAAAAATTTCCCCCTTAATTGCAGACACTGAGAAAAAAATTTATTGGATCGCGATTACTTTGAATATTATCAAATAAATATTTACTTGAAACAAATAATTTTTATTTGAATTAAATAAATTGTATTTGGACCAATAATTTCTATATTTGAAACAAATATACTATTTAATTGGCTTAAATAAAAATTATTTGGTTCAAGTAAATATTTATTTGATAATACTCACTTGGAAAGATTCCTCGGAAAGTGCCCCCTGGAGGTTCTATCAGAATTTCGCCTGAACTTCCAACGTAATTCCGTCGAAATTCCATCGGAGTTCCAAAGAATTTTCCGATGGGATTCCGACGGAGTTCCAACGGAATTAGGACTCTAAAAATTTTGAAAAAAATTAATCGGAATTCCGTCGGAAATTCTTTGGAACTCCTATGGAATTCCAACGGAATTACGTTGGAAGTTCCGGCGGAATTCTGATAGAACCTCCAGGGGGCACTTTCCGGGGAATATTTCCAAGTGGGTATTATCAAATAAATATTTACTTGAAACAAATAATTTTTATTTGAATTAAATAAATTATATTTGGACCAATAATTTTTGTATTTGAAACAAATATATTATTTAATTGGCTTAAATAAAAATTATTTGGTTCAAGTAAATATTTATTTGATAATACCCACTTGGAAAGATTCCGCGGAAAGTGCCCCCTGGAGGTTCTATCAGAATTCCGCCTGAACTTCCAACGTAATTCCGTCGAAATTCCATCGGAGTTCCAAAGAATTTCCGACGGAATTCCGATTAATTTTTTTCAAAAATTTTAGAGTCCTAATTCCGTCGGAATCCCATCGGAAATTCTATGGAACTCCGATGGAATTTCGACGGAATTACGTTGGAAGTTTAGGCGGAATTCTGATAGAACCTCCAGGTGACACTTTCCGGGGAATTTTTCCAAGTGGGTATTATCAAAGAAATATTTACTTGAAACAAATAATTTTTATTTGAATTAAATAAATTGTATTTGGACCAATAATTTCTATATATTTAAAACAAATATACTATTTAATTGGCTTAAATAAAAATTATTTGGTTCAAGTAAATATTTATTTGATAATACATAATCATAAGTAACCGGAATATTTGAATAACAATACATTTTTTTCCAGTGTATAAATTCTAAAATTTGTCATTAATTAACAGCATTTGCAGTATGTTTAAACCGCAATATATTCAAGATTTTGGTAATAATATAGGTGCAGCATCAGAGGCGATGGCATTGCATTGCTCGCATATGGGCATCCGGTTCTTGTGCGATCCCGAGTAGACCGGCGAGACTAGAGGTTGTAGGACGCAGACGTGCCGTATTGCAAGAGAGAGAGAGAGAGAGAGAGAGAGAGAGAGAGAGAGAGAGAGAGAGAGAGAGAGAGAGAGAGAGAGAGAGAGAGAGAGAGAGAGAGAGAGAGAGAGAGAGAGAGAGAGGCCGATAAAGGGGATGAAGAGAGTTTTTTTTTACCAAAAGGGGGTTGAGGGGGGCGGAGAGCAATTGAGTGAGACAGAAATGTAGAGCAACCAGGAAGAAAATACGCTCCCGATAGAGAGAGAGAGAGAGACAGAGAGAGAAAACTAGAATGGGTGTGAGGTGACGTCACATCGGGTCGATAGTACCCAAACTCTCTCATTCCCGGGGGAGGGGGTGTGAGGGAGGGAGGGAAAGAGGCGCAAGCGCCCCCGCTTCTTGCTCCTGAAGATAGGTTCCCGCCATATTAGCTGGCATGGGGGCAAAGTGCGGTATGTCACAGTGTATATATTGGGGTGGTTCTTCTTCTCAGAGTGAAAATTCGTAGCCCTTTTGCACAAGTGGTTGAAAATTGCAGGAATTGTGTGTGTGAGAGAGAGAGAGAGAAAGAGATCCGGTTCAGAAATTTCCAACAGTTATAGTGAAATGTATCTCCAGAACTGGAGGGTTCAAATAATAATGGTATGAGTGTAAAGGGATTGGAAATTTAATCCTCTCTGTGTGTTTGTGTGTGTAGTGGGACCGGATGTGTGGATCGACCGCGTGGATCATCCTCGTGCCATGCTTGAGGGTAAGATCTAATAGATCATGTAAATTATATCCGTCGACTGAATCTGGAAATATTTTGAAAATCATGAAAAAAAATTATTGTTTTAAAAAAAGTATTTCGAAAACCACCCAAAAGAAATTATTTTTTTAAGAAAAGTATTCTGAAAAAACCACATTGAAAAAAAATTATCATTGTTTTAAGAAAAATATTTTCCGAAAACCACACAAAAAATAATAATCATTGTTTCAAGAAAAATATTATGAAATCCTTGAAAAAAATTATTTTTTTAGGAAAATTATTCTGAAAACCACACTGAAAAAAAATCATTGCTTCAAAAAAAAAAATATTCTGAAAACCGCAGACTGAAAAAAAATTATCATTGTTTGAAGAAAAATATTACGAAAACCACAGAAAAAATAATTATCATTCTTTCAAGAAAAATATTCTGAAAACTATTCTAAAAAAAATTATCACTGTTTGAAAAAAAAATATTTCGAAAACTACACAAAAAAAAATTATTGTTTTAAGACAAATATTTTGAAAATTATGAAAAAAAAATTATTGTTTTAGAAAAAGTATTCCGAAAACCACCCAAAAGAAATTATTTTTTTATGAAAAGTATTCTGAAAAAATCACATTGAAAAAAATTATCATTGTTTTAAGAAAAATATTCCGAAAACCACGCAAAAAATAATTATCATTGTTTCAAGAATAATATTCTGAAATCCCTGAAAAAAATTATTTTTTCAGGAAAATTATTTTGAAAACCACACTGAAAAAAACTCATTGCTTCAAAAAAAAAAAAAAAAATATTCTGAAAACCGCATACTGAAAAAAAATTATCATTGTTTGAAGAAAAATATTCCTTAAAACCACAGAAAAAATAATAATCATTCTTTCAAGAAAAATATTCCGAAAACTATTCTAAAAAAAAAATTATCATTGTTTGAAAAAAAAATATTTCGAAAACCATACAAAAAAAATTATTGTTTTAAGAAAAGTATTCTGAAAAAACCACATTGAAAAAAAATTATCATTGTTTCAAGAAAAATATTCCGAAAACTACACAAAAATTAATTATCATTGTTTCAAGAATAATATTCTGAAATCCCTGAAAATAATTATTTTTTCAGGAAAATTATTCTGAAAACCACACTGAAAAAAAAATTATCACTGTTTGAAAAAAAAATATTTCGAAAACCACACAAAAAAAATTATATGTTTTAAGACAAATATTTTGTAAACCATGAAAAAAAATTATTATTTCAAAAAAATTAAAAAAGTATTTTGAAAACCACACTGAAAAAAAAATTATTATTGATTCAAGAAAAATTATTTACTTGATGCTGCACACTAATTTTCTTAATTCATTTACCAAAATTTTATTAAAAAGAATAAAATTCGAACAAATGTGTTTTCTTGATTCAATACTATTTTTTTTCGCAGAAAATCAAATACAAAAAAAAACTGCGACAAAAAACAAATTCTGGGTTCATTGAAAAGTTTTGGAAACCAAAACAAATTTTCCACCCAAAAATTTGATTTGAAAAAATAAAAAAAAAAACCCGCCTTAAAATTTAATTACTCTACTAAATTTGATTTTTATTTTTCAGGAGGGGCGTGGGGAAGTGACAGACATAAGTGCAAGTCCTGGGAGGCAGGCATCTGCCAACCAGTTGCGCCCCAAGGAACCACCTCCTATGGTCATCCAAGGGGATTTCAGAAAGGTATGCATCAGGAAAGAGAAAACTGTGAGTTTCAATATAATTATTCAAAAACAAAAAAATTATATTATCAAAACAAATTTTTTTTTCTTATAATTTAAATATTAATTTTTAATTTTGTTTAAAAAAAGGTGAGTGGGATCAGTACAGAGATATTCAAGCAAATTCAAACGGTGGAAAATGACCATGATGCTTCGACTGCTGCTGCTTTTGAAGCTGTTGAAAGACGAGGTCAAATGGTTGTACGTACCATTGAACCACGTCAAATGGGAAGACAGGCACAAGAAGCTGCAAAGAAATTCATCTCAGTGCAGGTAAATTTTTTTCTAAAATTATAATAAGAATATTGATCCATGAGTTTCTAATCTCATCTTTTTCTATGTTAATGAAATAATAATTAATTCGTCGCGTCGATTTCGAATAGAAAAAAAAAATTGTCAAGAATTTAAAAAATTTTTATTAATTGAAGATTTTTAAAAATAACTTTTTCCAGGATCCAAAATATCCCATCCATTTCGTCGAGATAATCAAGAGTCCGGGACAGACGTTGGGACTTTATATAAGAGAAGGAAATGGAGTAGACAGAAACGATGGCGTTTTTATATCTAGGATAGCACTGGAATCGGCCGTCTATAACAGTGGTTGTCTCAAGGTTTCTATCTTTTTTTTTCTCGAATCTATTATCTTTAAATTGAACAATTTTTTTTTATTAAATTTTTTTTCAAATTAAATTAAAAAAAACAAATTTGAATTTTGTTTTATATTTTAGGTGGGAGATGAAATTTTGGCAGTGAATCTTGTTGACGTGACGCATATGAGTTTAGATGATGTTGTAATTGTGATGTCAATTCCTACGAGACTCATTTTAGCCACGAGGCGTGGTCCTCATCAGCTTATTCCACACAATCTTCACAGCGAACACAAAACAACACCTGTCGTTGTCATTAAACGTGATATTAATGAAGATGAAAATGATCATTCAAGTAGTAATCATATACGGTAATTTGGAAATTATTTTTTTACAATTGTTTTTTTTTTAATTCGGATTCTTTTCATTAGAATACAGAATTTAAAAAATTGAAAAAAATAAAATATCTTTGACCTAATTGAAAAATAATTTTTTAGTGACAGTAGTCGAAGAAGAGGAGACGGACGTGAAATGTTACCATCAAGATCAAGATTAGGTCTCACTGGACTTGGATCGACACAAGATTTAGGATCAAGCAATGGCGATCTCTATTATAATTCACGACCCGAAGGTCATTGGTCCTATCAACCGCCACCAGCGCCTGTTATCACACATCAACCAAAACCATCAGCAACACAACATTTTCAACCCTACGAACGTGGTTATCCAAAAACATTGGAGAGTCTCGCTGAAAAAGTATGTTTAATAATTTCAATTTTCAAAATTATTTTAGATTTTACATTTATTAATATTTATTATTATTAAATGATTGCCCAAAAAAAATGACACACACACATTTATCAATGTTTTTAAAAAAAAAATAATTAAAAATTCCCCTTTTTTTGAACAAATTAAAATTTAATATGTTGCATGTTTGTTATTAAAACAAATTTTCTAAAATTTATTTATTTATTTTTTATTAATTAATGACACAAATTTGGTGTGTCAGTGATCATTTGATAGTGATGAATTTTATTATAAAACATAGATGTCTTAGACGATGTGGATCGAGCACCTTTTTTTATTACCTATTTGCACAATTCCACACTTGTTTGCCCTCCACTCTCTAAGAGCGCTATGAACATACAAATAATTAATTTAAATAAGAAAAAAAAAAGAATGGCGGATCTAGAGGATAGTTAAATTTTCTATTAAAAAAAAATCAATACCTCCGTAGATTTTTTCTTGATAACTTTTTTTCTGAATGAAATAATTTTTTTTTTTTTTTTTTTTGTAATATAAAAATGTTGAGAGAAAAAATTTAACGACCGCCGTTCAATATTTATTAAAAAGACGTAATTTATTGACTAATCGGTTCTATATATGAATGACTGCTACGTTGAAAATTGACCAGGATTTCACGAAGGTAAAAATAATATAACTCTTGTTGATATCTAGATCTCGTAATGAGTATATACTTCAATATGTATATTGCTATACTAAAATTATATTTGGCGCACCCCCTTCGTCTTTCTATTTCTCTCTCTTTCTCTTTCTTTCTCTATTTCTCTATCTTTTTTTCAACTGAGAAAAATATTTTGCTTTGACAAAACATTTTTTTTTTTTATCAATATTTGTGTGGCATATCTCAAATTTTGAGTCTCAGTCACTTTTGATTGAATCAAAAATTTTTGAAAAAATAATAATCATTTTTATCTGTTGAGATAGCAAAAGAAAAAAAAGGAAATTATTTTTTTTGTTACGCAAATATAAACGAAATGTTTTGTGTGTATTGTCGATGAGGGCAAATAAATTTTTCTCTGGGCTCACTATGTCTCTCTGTCAATCTATTCCAAAAGCTTTTCTATATCTGTTTATATGTGTGCATCTTCCAATATTTTCTCCCTCGCTATACATATATATATATATATACTGTTCACTTTGCTTCGAGCAGAAAATACATTTCTTGACAAAAGATGAAATTATGAAAAGTAAATTTTTATTCATAAACTTCATTATAAAAAGGGTTTATAGCATTCAAATATTCATTGTGAAATAATGGAAAATAAAGTGAAAATTTTTAATACGGTAAATTAAATTAAAAATTGGAATAATGAAAATAATTGATAATAATTATTATTATAGATAGAAAAGAATTATTTTTGCTTTTATATCACTTTTCAATTAAATACAAAAAATGTTTTTAAAAAACTTTTAAATGTAATTTTATTTTTAAATTTGATTAAACAAAATTTTAAAAAAATTTTTTTGTAAAAAGAAGATAAAAACTAATAAACGAGGTAAATAAAGGAATTGTCAAGGAATGTTTTGTAAATGCTTTTAGCAAGACTCAGCACATTTCACGGCTTAAAACGTACATAATTTTGTTTTCTAATATAATTAATTAAATATTAAGACATTTAATTAATAATTGTAAAATTATTTTCTCAACAAAAAGATGTTATTCGACACATCTATTTTTAGTTCTCATTCTCTTCTCTTCTATAAGAATATTGCAAAATTAATTCTTAATTATTAAAAAAAAAATGCTTTTAATTGATATAATTATTATAAAAAATTGCTCGTTAATTTTTTTTTTCTAAAAAAAACTAAGTTTCAAAGCATGATATTTAATATAAAAGCAACGTGAAAAGTGAAAAAGTCGCTTAAAAGCTGTTTATAATTAGAAAATTAGAAAAGTAAAAAAGAAGAATTGGATAATTTATATTTAAATTTTCATTTAGGTTCATTCGTTTTATGCGAATCCTGTGATGTCATCGAATGGACCACGTCGTATGTCAACTGGGACTGGAATGCAGTCAGCTGGAGGTAGAATTTCAGGCCAAACTCAAGCCTCACATTATGGATACTCTCAACATACTGGGGGCAGTAGAATTATGCCAAGAAGTGGTTCTGACCAACATTTACCCCGAGTTGATTATACCAGCATTACCACACCAGCACGCCATACGCTCTTGCGGTCTAGTCTCAAGACAGGTAAAATTATTGTCATGTAAATTTATTATTTTCTCCCCATTTTGTCAATATTTAGTAAAAATTTGTTATCAGAATATTGTTTGAAAAATTATATCCACCTTCAGGGGAATATTAATAATTCTTTTTTTTTTAAACTATTTTTTTAATGAATTTTTAGAATATAATTGAAAAATATTTAATTCTGTTTATTATTTTCAAAAATGAATTCAAATTTCTCGGATTTTTGAAACATTTTTATTTTTAAAAATTATATAATAATAAAATGCTACGTCTGTCCTTCTGTCCTAACTTGAAGTTGGCCTTTTCTGATTTCACGTGTTTTTTTGAATATTTATCTTATGACTTGTCAAATTTTGACAATTCTTTTTCTCATTTTTGAAAATGAAATCTCATTTTTTCTCTTCAGAAAGAGTTATAATTAAAAATTATTAAATTTCAACAAATTTTAGATGGAAAATTTTTAAAATAATTAAATTTTAGAAGCTTTTAATTTGAAATTTTTGAAAATAATTGAATTTTAGTTGATTTTGAATTAATATTTTGGAAAATAATTGAATTTTAATTGAAATTTTGAATAATTTAATTTTATGTAGTTGATTTTGGATTGTGAATTTTGATAAATAATTTTAAATTGAAATGTTTAAGAATAATTGAATTTTAATTGATTTTGAATTGAAATTTTGTCGATTTTTTACAAATTCGTATTAAAATTTTTGAAAATTGTATTTTTCACTGAATTGAACTTAAATTTTTAAAAATAATTGAAATTTTGGAAAATAATTAAATTTCAATTTAAATTTTGATTAATAATTGAATTTTAATTAATATTGAATTTAAATTTTCAAAAATAATTGAATTTCAATCAAAGTTTTGAAAAATACTTGAATTTTAGTTGATTTTGAATTGAATGCTTGGAAAATAATTGAATTTTAAAAGATTTTGATTTGAAAATTTTGAAAATAATTGAAATTTTGGAAAATAAATTAATTTCAAATAATTGAAGAATTTATTAGAAATTACAGACAAAAATTGAACTTAAAAATTTTTTTTAATTGCAAAATGCTTTCAAATAATTGAATTTTCGAAGAATATTATAAAATCATTAAAAATAATTGAAGCTTTTAAATTGAAATTTTTGAAAATAATTGAATTTTAAAAGATTTTGAATTGAAGTTTTCAAAAATACATAATAGAATTTTAGTTGATTTTGAATTTAAAATGTTAAAAATAACTCAATTTTAGTTGATTTTGAATTGAAAATCTTGAAAATATTTGAATTTTATTTTATTTTGAATGGAAAACTTGGTAAATAATTAAATTTTAAATTGAAAATTTTGGATTTTTAATTGATTTTGAATTAAAATTTTGGGTAATAATTGAATTTTAGTTTATTTTGAATTGAAATTTTTAAAAAATAATTCAATTTTTTTGTGATATTTTTTTTTTAAATTATAAACAATTGTTAAATTTCATAAAAATTTTAATTATAAACTAATTTTGATATAATTGAATTTGTGATGTATTTAATTAAAATTATTAAAAATAATTAATTTAGTGAAGAATCAATTTAGTTCAAAATTTGTTAAATAATTGAATTGAAGAAGATCTGAAGAAGATCTACATTTTATACTAAAAAATGTATTTTATTTACATTTTTTTTCAAATATAAAAAAAAATGTCGCATTTTATTAAAATAAGTCGATAAAAGTTGTATTTTTGAAAAAAGTCGAAAAAAGTCATATAATCCGAGGCTTGTGAACATATAATTTTCATTATTATTATTTAATATGTAATAATATTCTAATAAATTAAATTATTATTGATAATATTAATCTTTAATTTCTTTATAACAAACAATTAAATACTCAATTTGTCGCGCTTGCGCGCGTTTAATTTTGCTAGTTAATTAATAATTTATTTACAATAATAAATTAGGATCGTCGGCGATGCGCTATAATACAAGATATGGACAAAATGATACAACATCATCGACACGAGGTCAAGGTCAATTTGGTACTTTGACGAGAAGACATCGACCATCGTTGGATTATGCATCTGACACTGAAGCCACATGTTCGAGTTCACCAAGATCGGCTTACTATTACTATAGGCATAATCTAAATAATCCATCACAGAGTAGTGCTGTTTCACATTTGGCAACATTATCGAGATCACAAATTGGTCAGGGTTCAACGGGTATGTTATTAATTTTCAAAAATTGTCATGTATAAGATTGAACATTTTTTTTTTTTTTACATTAGCGAAAATTATTTTTTATACACATTTCTATATATATATTATAGATCAGAAAAAAAAATTGCATGTATATAAACACATATGAGATATATATTTTATATAGAAGTCTTCTACGGCAACGTCTCTGTCGCTCAAACAATGGATACGAGGCTTTTCGTGAATTTTTTTTTTTTTAAATTTACTTTTTTAAATTTACTTTTTTTAAATTATTAACTTTATTTAAAATATCTTTAATGAAAATGGTGAAAGTACATTTTTGACTGCTTGGAATTAGTTTGCACGTTCGTTAATAATTTTTTTTTTTTCTGACAGATAAAATAATAAATAGATTCATATGGGATTTTTTTTCACTTTTTATAATAGATGAAAAAGCAGTCAATAATGAGCTGACCGAAATTGTTTTTTTTATTGATTTGAAAAATTGGAATTAAAAAAAAAGAGAGAGAAAATTTTAAGGAAGGATTTGGTTTTTGACGTTATTTTAGGTTTAAGAACAAACTCATTGCCTCGTAGCGGCAGAACGTTGCCGCAGCAACCAGGCCTTAGAACTGGTCTTAGCACTGTTACGTCAGGTCTTATTGACCAGGAAGATAGTGATGGGGCATTGTCCGCTCCCGAGTTTCCATCAATTAGACGCGATAGAGGTAAGAAATATAATCACAACAAACAAACAAAATTTTCCCATATATTTATATATCCAGTAAAATTTCTTTTTAAAAAAAAAAAAGAATTATTTTCAATTTTCTACAAAATTAGTTTTGTCCCTTTTTTCAAATCCCAGTAACAATTGAAATATCCCAGGAATTAAAAAAAAAAAATTCCAAAAATATTTAAATATTTCACATTTTTTGATAATATTTCAGAAATATTGAGGAATTTTTTTTGGGATCCATTTTAGAAATATTTCCGAAATAATTCTTTAGCAAAGTTCCAATATTCCAGGAATGTGAAAAGAATATTTTTTACTTAGCAATTTTTTTTTAATTAAAGCAGAATGTAAATCTTAGATTCTGCATAATTTTATTTTAAATTTCTTATTTAGAACAAATTCTCTTATTAGTGCTAATGATTATTTTTAGTTATTACTAAATCAATAGTTTTTCAAATAGTATGCATTAATTATCAAACTATTGTAGATTTGACACGTTTATTAATTAATTTAGGAGAATGTAAATTTTTTTTAATGCCTGTATTTTTTTTAATTTCGAAACTTGGTAGTTTGTTGTCATAAACGTAAGTTATCTAAAAAAAAAATTATATATATATATCAGTCTGGTAAACCTCGTAGCATCTGGTATAGTTGAAAAAAAAGAATTTGGAAAAAGTATATTCTCAACAAGAAAAATAAAATAAAACGATTTTTTTATATCATTTGAGATGTCATTAATAGTGATTTTAATAATATTATAATCACACAGGAAGGATACCATCGTCGCCAAGTGTTTTCACGTCAGATGAATATCGAGCATGGTTGAGTCGAACACCAAGTACCAGCGCATTGTATGAACAAATTCGAGCAACAACAAACAGGCCTCCACGTTACACTTATAGTGCTGAAAATATTCACGCGGCAGCAAATCAGGTGCGATTTCCAAAAAGGCATTTTAATTTTTTTCTCAACATTTTTAGTTTTTATTTTTAGAAACGAGAAGAAAAATTATATTTATTTAATTAATAAGAAATTATGTATTTAAATCTGTATTTAATTTTATTGTCTAATTAAATAAGGAATGAGAAAGGGATTTTGAGAAAGAAAAAAATTGTAATTAATAATTATCATTTTATAGGCTGAATATGGAGGATATGGCAGCTATAGACCGATGTCAAGTACTTTAGATAGATTATCAACGAGGTCAGCGTCAGCGCAACAAGTGAATCTCGCAAATTTAAGGGCTTCAACTGCTATCAGTTCCACTTCTCATCGAACTGCGGCAGGCAATCCAAGGCCATCTTCTGTTGCTTCCAATGTACGATCATCATTAAGTCAAAAACCATCATTGAGCAGTACTGTCAGTCAACGTGCAACATCGGTAAGAAGGATCAGAAATCTTTTGGATCTCGAGTCAACAAGAAGTATACCGACTCCCACACCAGCAAGAACACAGGATCAAAGACTGTTAGACATTAATCCTGCAGGTGGGAATTTTTAAAGAATTTTAAAAATAATTAATTTTTACTTCCAAAGGCTATTTTTTCAGCTGGGAATGAATATTTTAATTTGTATAATTAAAATTGGATATTTATTTATTTTTTTTATTGCAGAGTTCCTCAAGTATAAAATAGAGAAGCCACCGACGGTGGGTACTCCAAGTTCAACGAGCTCTCTATTGAGTTCTCTTGGCGGTGACACGGGTGGTGATCTTTCCAGTGGAGTGAATGGGTTGCTCTGGGTCCACCTGCTGGCAGGTCGTGGTCTTCGATCGACAACTTCATCTTCTGCAGCGACAACACCTTCTACTCCATCAGGTCAGCCAAGCTTAGGTACGTCCGTGAATGTTCAACATTCACGGCTGAAGGCACTGTTTTCTTTCCAAAAAAAAAATATTAACAGAAAACAAATCACTCAATTTTCATTTCAAATTTTTCTATTTTTTTTAATTCTTTTATTTATTTTAATTTATTATTATCTATTAATTAAAATTCACTCACATTTTTTTCTCATATGTTTGCACAAAACGACTCGAAATGATATATACATTGGTTCGAGTGGCACATTTATATTTTTTCATAATAATAAATTGAAAACACAAAAAATACACTCAATTTTTTTTAATAAATTGAAGATATGGGAAAATATTTTTCTCTTCTTTTTTTTTTTACAGGCGCTTGTGCACTTAGGGATTTGTATTGTGTTCTTGAATGCGATAGAGTTCACAAAGCAAGAACAGTTGTTCGTACTGGTGATTTAATGTTCGATTGGGATGAAACTTTTGAATTGGACTTGGTTGGAAATCGACAATTGGATTTACTTGTCTATTCATGGGATCCACAGCACAGGCACAAACTTTGTTACAAAGGATCTGTACATTTAATTAGCCTATTAAAGGAATCACCATTGCATCAATTGGCATTGAAAGTTGAACCACGTGGAACGATTTATCTTAGATTAAGGTATACTGATGCGCATCAAACATTTAGACGACGTGGATTGCCCGTTATATCATTAGCTACTAGAGTTGCGCCACTATTTGGAGTTGATCTCGACACTGTCGTGAGTATTTCCTTTTGATCATTTTTTTTATGAAACAAAATTTTGTTATTAAATTACATTTATTTTTGTAATTCTATTAAAATGAAAAATAGAAAAAAAAATTATTTCGGGATTGAAATTGTATTTTGAACATTAGTGAGTGAAAATTTGTTAATTGTAGGTTACACGAGAGTGCAAGACTGGAGGTGTACCGGGAGGAGTGTCAACTGCTTTGGCAATGAGCTCATCTCCTAATATTCCTATAATTGTTTGGCGCTGTGTCGAGGAAGTTGAACGAAGAGGACTTGATATTATCGGTATTGCTATTTATTTCAATTTTGAACTAATTATATAATTTTTATTGAAATTTAAGAAAATTTTCGTCGTAATGTGATAATAATTTTCTTTAATTAATTCAATTTTTTGAATAGTTAATTTATTAGGTTTTATAATTTATTTATCATTAAAGTAGTAATTTTTTTTAATTAGTAAAGAAGATTTAATTTCTAAAATTTGTAAGAAAAGTAATTTTTTAATATTTTAATTTATTTTGTAAATAGATTTTTAAATTAACAATTAATTTACAGGCTTGTATAGACTGTGTGGATCGGCATCGAAAAAAAGAATACTTAGAGAAGCATTTGAGCGAAATGCTAGATCGGTCGATTTATCGCCTGATAATGTTCCTGATATTAATGTCATCACAGGTGAATAATTTCAAAAGAAAATTAATTAGCAAATTTTATTTTTTAGTTAAATTTTATCGAAATAAAATTCCTTTTTTTTTGTAGGTGTTCTCAAGGATTATTTAAGAGAATTACCGGAGCCCCTCTTCACGAAGTGCCTCTACCAAATGATGGTGGACGCGCTCGCAGTCTGCCTGCCCGATGATCCACAGGGTAATGCCAAACTTATGTTCAGCATCCTTGACTGTCTCCCAAAAGTGAATAGGGTGAGTTTCTTCATTTAATTTCAAAAACAATTAAAAAAAAAAACATTAAAGAATTAAAATTAATAATTTATATTCTTTCAGTGTACATTAATTTATTTATTGGATCACTTGGCCCTGGTATTATCGCAATGCAATAAAATGTCGCCAGCAAGTTTAGCAGTTTGTTTTGGTCCAGTTTTAATGTTGCACGCGGAAGAAACTGGACCGCCATTAGACTTCCAACAGCCAATTGCGGTGCTTAAATATCTTCTTGAAATTTGGCCTGTCAAGTCAGGTAATGCTATTGTTCTTAATTATTTTTATTCTCAATTTTTTAAATTTATAATCGCTAATTATTTTATTTATTAATTTTTTTTTTAAATTTTTTTATACAGTTTTGGATAATTAAAATGTTTTTGAATATTAAAATAATTGTGGGAATCAAGTAATCAGTAGCTCATTTCACAGACAGTTCGGAAGATTTCTTCAGTCGCTTCAACACTTCCACGAGTTACGCAAGCAGTCGAGCACAACAACACCAGCAATCCGTCAATGCCATCGCAGTTGCACTCGCAGGTTCCAATTCACTTGCAACATCATCCGGTACAGGGAACATTGGGACGAACAGGGCAGCCTTGGCAGCAGCCACCCTCACTTCATCAACAGCCCCCCATTACAACCCACGTAGCCCCCGCGGCCTCCATTCGTCCTCCACCGCCGGTCAAACCACGACAGGTAATTCGTGCTCGTTTGTCTATTTTTCTCAATTTTTTTTTTTTTTTTTTTTTATAATTATTTTTTCAACCGTATTCTTCTTCACTCGCATCCAAGCTTTTATGGTGCATCCGCAGCGTCGAGTTTCCAATAATATTGTAAATAAAATTATTATTTTCTTCGGAAATATTTTCACTATTGTGAAAATTTGAGTGCTTATATTCTAAGGACAAAATTTAATTGGCTTGGCAAGTGTTGACTGTTGGATGCTGTTTTTTTAATTGAAAAAGACAAATGAGAGGAATTTTAATTTGTATCTCTCTTTCTCTAAAGCTTGAAACGTAATTGGTTAAGTTCCAATTTTTGTTTGTTACAAAATTATTATTATCATCTTATGTGTGTTCTTTCTTGCTTTGTAAATGGAATTTTTTTTTCTTCGTTTTTTGGAGTGTAGGATCTCATTTGAAAAGCATGGTAGATATCAAAATGATAACTATCATCTTCATTGCATAAAATTTTCTATCTTTTCAAATTGTATATATTATACGCTTCATCATTCAACACATCATTTTTGCAAATTTTTCTCACATTTTTATCATCCAAGTCTTTCTTTTTTTTTACAAAGTCTCTCATACTAATTTTTCAAATGCTCTCGCGTATTATATATTATATACTAAATATATAATCGTGTGCCATACCCCTTTTTCATGCATGATTTTTTTTTATTCATATTAATTCTGCATTTGCGTGATATTTAGTATTCACAAAGGCAGTTGATGAAATTGTCAAAGATGAGCTGTCCTTTTTTTTTTTATTTACTTTTTAGTGAATTTTTTTCTAAATTCAATTTTTAATTCATTTTTTTACACATGACGAAAAATTAAATTTAAAACAGAAATATTTATTTGAATTAAATAAAAATATATTTTTCTCAGAGCTAAAGAATTATTTATTTTTATAAGATAGAAATTGCAGTAAACGATATTTATTATAGTAGTAAAATTCAATTAAGAATTAGATGAGTAATTATTTTTTTATTATATTTATACTTTTTTTTGTTATTATTTATTTATTAATTTATTATTATTATTTATTTTTTTTGGACAGACCATCTTTGATAAAACTGTTGAATCTTTTCATGCGTAAACTATCATTTCATTTGTAAATAGTTTTTTTTTTCTACACCATCATACCATTTACATAGTGAGATTTACGTTGTCTTCTTTATCTTTTGTTTGGGCACGTATTCAGAGCAAACGCAAATTGCCGGCTCTACCAAAGCGCTGACAGCACAGAGACGCCGCTTCTTGCACAGGTACATTATCGTTATCATTTTCATTCACAATTCATTCATCATCTCTATCTCTCTCTCTCTTTCTCTTTTTTCATCCGTTCGTTTTTTACTGCATGCTCTATTTTTTCAAGTACATATGAGAGCAAACAATTTTCAAAATGAAGATCTGAATTTTCTTCATTTTCTTTTTAATAAGGTGGCGAATAAAATTATTTAGTTCAATTTTTCAGAAATCGAAAAAAAGATTCTAAAAACTAATAATTAATATAAATTATAATAATTTTTATATAATCCTATAAATTATGGTATCTAAAAAAAATTGAGGATTCGGATAGTTTTTTTTTTGAAAAATATTTGACAATTATTATTGTCAGATCTTCACTGAAGTTGTACGCTCTTTAAATGCATCTACAATCTCAACGTATTTTTTTTTTTTGTCTTAATCCCACACTTTTTGGTATCTACTCGACTATATTCGTATGGTAAAATGATTTTTATTTTTAAATGCAAGAAATAACATTTTGTACAAGTATAAATTTAAACGATTTTCTTTTATGTTAAAAATATTTTAACTTATTCAATTGCGTTTTTAGACATACAATATATTTTTCAAAAATATATAAAATGAAGTGCAAATAAATAAGAAATTGATATTATTTCAAAAAAAAAAATTAAATAGAAAATTGTAATATTTATATTATAAGTGATAAATATTTAATTAATTAACCAAATTTTTTTTGATATCTTTTAGGTGATAGTCTCGTCTCCCGGTTCCCCTAGCAGTGAGGATTCAACCTTCCAGGAATCAAGTAAAATTAATCACAACAATGGCCATAAAAATGGTCACACAAACAGTATCAATAGTCACAATAATGGACACAATATTAACAATAACAGTAGCAACAATAACAACAAGGATCGTGGAAATTTAGGTTTTGCGAGGAATGAAAATCCAGAACAAATAACACCAACAAGCAGTGTTGACACAGAAGAAGGAAATCCAACTCATCCGGAAGAGGGAGAACGTGGCGTTGAAGGTGATGCTGAGGCAAGTGATGAGGATCATCTCTCCAAAATTCATTGAATAATGAAATTTGATGATTTATTATTTTTCCTTTTCTTTTTCTTTTTTTGGTACCCAATGGGACCAGGACTATAATTATTATAGGATTTCAAAAACTCGGTGGAACCGAGAAAAATAGTCGATGATAATGGATGATGAGGCCTAGTTAGAACGAAAATTTGAAAAGGAATTTGGAATTCATGATTGAAGGAAACAAATTTAGGACAAAGTAATCTCCTGGTATGCAATAATTTTTTTTCTACTCTTTTTTTTTAATACATACAAATATATTTTAAATCTCTCTTTCTTCATATATGAAAAAGTTCAGCTGTTTATATATATATATAAAAAAAACAGTGCTTTATACTAAATTTTTCTAAACTTGGGAGATAAAATTACTCTGCAATAATTGCTATACGTAACTATGAAGAAAAAAACCTTCCATTGTACAATTTTTCACTTATATAAATCTCAATTTTTTTTATATTATTTTTACAATTTCAATTAACGATTCAAGAAAGAGATTTCATAGGGAATAAAAGTATCTCTTTCTATTGAATTAGAACTGATGAAATTAAAAACGATTTTGACATAAATAATTTCTATTAGCAAGAAACAGGAATAAAAAAAAACAATACCCACAAAGACTAAATTGAAAAGAGAGGAACACAAACTAATAAGCTCGGTTTATATGCTATATATTATATATTATTCTACACATATTCTGTATACATACATATTTATATGTTCATGTATATAGAATAGTTTACGATATACATGTGCTTTTGATAAAGACTATTGTAGCTTTAGCCAACACGTACATTAAAAAAAAAAAAACATCAACAAAAAAAAAAAAGAATCGAGATGATACTGACGATAATGAATAGCTATATTATACAAAAACTATAATTATAAAAAACTAATTATATATATAAAAATTAATTATATATATAAAAAAACTATATATATAAAAAACAACTATATATAAATAACTAATTATATATATATATATAAATAAATATATATATTATACAGGCATACGTACGATTTGTACATATATAATTGTACACGACGAATAAAAAAAAAGGAATATGTGAATCTACTGTATATGTCTGACAATAGGAAGAGAGAAAAAAATCTTAAAACTCACCCAAACGATAATAATTAATGATTTACAAACAAAAAAAAAGCAAATGAGTTTTAAAACTTAATCCAGTAATAGCCAGTATTATTATACATACTAATGTCTAGTTGTCTAAAGAGTAACATTAGAACAGACTGTGTTACGTTAAAACGTAAAAGAAACAAAAAACAATACAAAAAAAATGACTGCAAGGGGGTAACGTGCACGAATAACTAAAAAAAAAAGAAGCAAAACACGAAAACCGCCCCTTTTTAATCACACAATCTGTAACATAATACCCATTAAATACACTAATAATAATTTCGCACAGTTAGTCTTATATTTATCATTGAAAACAAGGATCGTTTATTATCAATAGAGATGATCGAAAATCATGATAAATAGTGTGTGTGGTATTGTAATAAGTAAAAAAAAAAAAAAAAATTATACCTACTCGTCCCTCTCGTACAACTCTCGTTTTTTAAAAAAAAAATATTTGAATTTTTTTTTATTTATCGAAAAACTGTACGAGACGTACACTGCCACATTTTTGTAAATTGATAATTACAAAACAGTGTCACAGTTGAGATCGCGAAAAAACTGCAAGAAGAATGTAAGAGGGATTCTCTTAATTGTTTTTTTTAATTTTATATATAAATATAAAAAATAATAATTTTAAAGAAAATTTTTTATATTAAAATTAAAAATATTTTTATGGTAATAAAAATAATTTTTATTACAATATTATTTATCATTTAAATAGTTCGAATTAATTTCTTTTTTTAAATTCGTTTAAAAAGTTTAAATTGAATCATTTTTTTTCAAAGATTTAAAAAAAAATATCCCTTGCATCTTCCTTCAGTGATTTCGATTTAAATATATATAAATTCTCCAAAATGCATATACAATTATTAAAAATAAGAAAACATAATAGTCTGATTAGTTCGTTTTTAACTATTAATTAAGTCCTATAAACGTCATTTGAACGCACATTTTCAATTTTGTACAAATTGAATTAAATTTTATCCCACATCAGCCAAATATGTCGAAATGGAACGAAAGACATAAAATCGAAAACTGTTTTTAATAAAATTAAAATAAAAGACAACTCCAATTTTACGTTAAATTAATATTTTGCAAAATAGAATAATTTTATCAAAAAATTTTCAATTTTTTAAAAATACAATAGTAATTCGTTTTAATTATATCAATTACATTACAACTAAAAATAGTTTCTGTAAAAAAAAAGTACATTAATTAAAATTGTAAGTTGAATTATAGCCTAATTTATAATGAGAAGAGCTAAAAAAAAATTAATCGAAGAGAAAAAAAAATGGAGAAATGACAAAGTAGTAGATAAAAAAAAAAAACTAATAATTAAGATGACGCTTGCATTACCTGAATATCTTGTGCAATCGTATTTATCGATTATTAATTAACAAAAAAAGTAATCTATTATTACTTTTCGCAAGTCATAAATTTCAACTTCAAGTCACACAAGTGATAATAATATTCGAAATATAAAAAAAAAAGCTATGAATTAATTGCAGACTCATTTTTACGAAAAAAGTTCGATTCAAACATCGAAGACTGCGTAGACTTGTTTGCTGAAAAATTTATGACTTTCCTTTGGATAAATTTATTATAAAAAAAAAAAACAAAAACAAAATGGACCACGTTTGTCATAAGCGTTTCTAAAAAAAAAAAACCAAAAAAGAGAGCAATTTTTTTTTTCAAGTGAGTTTTTTTAGGCTTCTCCACAAAAAAAAAAAATTTAGTCAAACTGAATAGAAAATTGAAAAAAAAATTTGATATAAGATTTTTGAACTTTGTTTTATTCAAAGGAAAAAATTTTGCAAAAAAAAAAACGTAATTTTAAATTAATACGCGATTTTATTCGAATTATGTTCGCGATTGAAAAATGATATCAGGGTATTTAAGGCGATCGTGAATTGATTAAGTTTTATTGCTGCAGTCGATCTAAAAAAAAAAGGGAAAAGTAAAAAATAGATTTGTAATACGCGAGGTGCTTTAAGATTATTATTATTATTATTATTATTATTATTATTATTGTTGTTAATGAATCTCGATGCCACTTCGTCCTTATCGTTTTAAAACGAACGGTCAATCGAAACTCGATTTCGCTCATTAATTAAAAAAAAAAAAAAACTTATTTAAAAAAAAAAATATTAATGAGTATTAATTAATAGTTTAGAAAGCAAAAAAAAAAACCGTTGTACATATTTGATATAATCGATTCACACTTCCCTTTCATTCATATTTCGCGTAAACTCAAGAATTTCGCAAACACATATCCCTTCCCCCAAACCATCTGAATTTACATATTTCATTTTTTTTTTCTATATATACACGACCACAGACTCGCATTCTATTTTCAAAAAAAGAGACTAAAATCGATCGAGTTTAAAAAAAAAATAAGTGCCCCGATTTGAAGTTTTTCTAAGAGTTAAATTAATTTTTTTTATCTCAATTTTTTGAAATAAAAATGTTGTTTGTGAAATTTTTTTATTTTTAAATTCATATTTCCATTTTTAGTTAAATTTTATATTTTAAGTCAATCATCCAATTAATTTGAATTAAAATTTTTTTTATAAATAAATATTTTGCTTATTTTATATTTAGAAAAATTTTACTATTTTTTTTAAATTTTTTTAATTCAATCAAAGACAAATTAGATCGCAGGGTCACCCTAAGCTTAGATCGTCCTACATATCATAAAAAAAAAAAATGTTACTTAGAATCATTAAATGCAAAAGACAGGCCTATATTAAAATAATAAACTCAATGAACACCAATTAAACTGGCCTCTTTTAAGGAATAACTTTTAATTGTCAGATTAATGAACGTCTCGAAGGTTTGAGATTAATGGAAATTTGTCCGCGTTTGTCGAAATTCATGGATTTATTCTAAAATTCAGTTATAAAATAAATTTTGAAAACGATAGAAATTGATGTGGCTAAAGAATTGAAAATATTAAAAAAATAAAAAATAAAAAAAATTGAAAATCTTATTTCAAAATTGTTTTTGTTTAAAAAAAATTGTAGGACAAAAAATTTTAAAGTTGAGAGAAAATCGTTGCTAATTAATTATATATTGTTATGTTTAATAATTGTTTGTTGGGAAAAAATTAGGATAAATTATGAAATGAATTTCAAATATAATGATTAATTTAAATTCAAAAATATTTTTTTTTGGAAAAAAAAACCAGTGGACAAAAAAAAATAAGAGTAACTATTTTCTCTTTAAAATAATAAATAAATTAATTTTTTTGGCGAGAAAAAAAAAATTATCTATCGTCAAAACCTTCGTCTTCGTACATATCCATTTTTGAGATCTAATAGTTTTTTATATACGAAGGAAGAAGGAAAAGAATTTGAAAAAAAAGAAAGAACTAAGTAGAGTTGAAATATCGACAAAAAGCGTCGCTTGTCTCTAATACATAAGATACGAAATAAATATAGAATAAAAAAAAATATATATGATACTATATTGCTTAAAAGAGAAATTAAAAAAAAAAATGTATGGAAAAGCCATTGAACGAAGTTAGGATTTATTTTCGAACGAAGAAAGGCATTTTGATATATTTAATCATCGCAAAAAGAAAAAAAAAAAAACGTTCATCATTATTAGACATATATTCCTGAAACTTATTAGAAACTTACTTTTTATGCACAATGCGTTTAAAACCAAAAAAAAAAAACCAAAAAAAAAACAAAAAAAAAAATTAAGAGCAGTCAGTAGATCCACTTTCTATAAACATTTATTATATCATAAGTGAAACCAATATGTATCATCTTTAAAAAGTGTTTGCAATGAGAGTGATTAATTAAAAAAAAAAAAATTATTTTTTGTAATTAAAAATTTAATGAGTTTATTCAAATTAATAATCAATAACAATTTTTAAAAATTTTTTAAATTTCAATTTTTTTCAAACTTTTTTCTCAATAGAAATTTTTCTTTCAAAAAAAAACTCTTGGAATTATTTTAACTCCACGAAAGGGCGAAAATTGAAAAAAGAACTCGAATTGTTGACATTTAATAAGATTGCGAGATTATTCGACGTAATTTTTAAGTACATACTGACTGATTGTAATTTTCTCAACTTCAAACTCTTTTTTATTATATGCGAGTCTATACGATTTTCAGCTTATGATTCTTATACATATATATATAAATATAAAAAAAATGATTATAAATATAAAACAAAAAAATGCGCCATGTGTGAAAAATCCATCTTGTTAAATCAATTGCAAAAGTGCTTGAAATTTTGCATAATAAAAAATTAAAAAAAAAAATCATGCAAATTTTAAATAATTATAACAAGAAAAGATGAAAGAAAATATTAAAAATAGAAAAATGCCAACAAATGACTAATTGCTAAATTTGTTTAAAACAAATAAATTTACAGTATTATAACAATTTTAATATAGCTACTGAAAAAGTTGGTTAGATATAAAAAAAAATGAATATTTAAGAAGATAATTATAATATAGTGTAATTATTGTAAATTAATTAATTAATTATAATTAACTACTATGGTTTATTATAATTAATTAATTATTATAGTTAATCAATTACTATAATTTATTAATTAGTTATAATGAATATAAAATTGCATTGAAATATCATTTGCAAATAAATATATATATATATAATGGATTAATTGTAAATATAATTAATTAACTAATTATATAATAATTAAAGGTTGTTACAATAGAATTAAAAAAAAAAAACGTCGTTATTGTGGAGTCCTCCCCCGAAAAAATAATATTTAAAATGTAGATTATTTAATGGAACTAGTTTAATTATATTATATCTATCCAACTTTTTCATATTTTCGACAATAGGAACCTGAATACGAATTACAATTCATAATTGTATAAATGTTGATGTTTTTTCATTCTTTTCTTGTTATGGCTAATTTTAAATCATTTTAAATAGCATTATATTTGCAATTGATATACTAAATTGCGTCAATGATACCAGAAGAGTATCTTTATGAAAAAAAAAAAGTATGATGAAAAAAAAAGAAGAATGAATCTGTATGGAATTAGCCATGTGTACTAGAGATAAAAATATTAATTGTACATTGAGTGGGATTAAAAAAAAAAAAAAAAAATAGGCAAGAACGCTAGGCGATCGGATCGCTCGAGAATTGAAAATTCTAAGTATAAATATATAAATACTAAAAAAAAGGTATATATATATAAATATTGATATATTAATATGATTAAAAAAAAAAAAAAAAAAAAAAAATAGATGGTGTACCGGCAGGCAAGTATATCTCTATCAGTATTTATACATGCGACGTATCATGTTAGGTAATGAAAATACATGATTCTCTCATTTTTCTTTTTATATATATAGTAAATTAAATTTTTTTTTTAAACGCAAAAAAAAAACGTTGATGCTATCACCTGTAGTGATTAAAAAAAATTAGTAGTGCATATATATATATATATATTATATAAATTATAAATATTTATATCGAAGAAGCGCACGCTGATTGACTGATCGCTTTTTTTTTTCTTTTTTGATAATGATATACGAAAAACAATGCTTATAAATGCGTTGAATGTAATTCTATATAAATATAATAGAGAATGTTTTGTGTAAATGATATATTATAGAAAGAAAAGTAAATAGGATTTTTTTTTGGCACTTTGTGCCCTATATTAAAAAAAAGGAGAATGAATGATGAATAGAAAAATGATTTTTTTTTTTATTCTTTTTTAAAGAATAGAAAAAAAGGAGCGTCAATTGCATCAAAGTATGAGGATTTGCGTAGTAGGGAAAGGGGAAGATTTAAAAAAAAGGTATTAATCGATACAAATCAATATTAGATAATTAATAATAATAATAATATAATAGTAGCGCGTGAAAATTAAAAAAAAAGGGTAGTAAACTAAACTGTTGTTCCGTTGATTGTTTTTCATATAGATTTTATTGAATACCGTTTCCACGTCTCGTGTGACGCGAATTGCATGTTGTCGAATCGGTATAGTGAAAATTAATTTTTTATACTGTATAATGAAATTTAATTGTTTTTTTTTAAATTACATATTTTGAAAACATTTTTTCATAATCAAAATGGATCGAATTTTTTTTTTATTTATAATTTTTGATTTGAAAGGATCGAAAAATTGAAAATTATTGTTTTTAATTGATTTTCTTGAAAAAAGAGAAAAAAAGATTTTTTTTTTATTCCTAAAGATGGGATGAAAATCAAAAATTTATTTTATTTCTTCTTTTTTTCAATTAACGTCTATAATCGCATATTATGTAAAAAAAGAGATGTTAAATGTTAAAATTTGTATTAAAAAGAAAAAAATAATTTTGCTTTAATATATATATATATCTATATAGAAGAGAACTAATTCAGTGGAAAATAAAAAAATATATATAAAAAATTATAACTATGAAAAGAAAATGAATTTTTAATTCCCATCCTGAAGTTTCAAGTTTTACAAAAAATTAAAAATTTTTTTTATTTGCAATTAGGATTAAAAAAAAATATATATATATATAGTTTTGTAAATAAATAATTGTTGTTATATAGAAAAAAAATGTATAGAAAGATTTTTAATTATAGTAAGAAATTAATTAATTGTACAAAAAAAATTTTCTTCATTTCTTGCATTTCGTTGAAACTATTTTAAAAAAAATCAAAAATTAGGGAATTTATGAAATTTTTATATTCTAGTGTTTTTATTTATTAATTATTATGATCTATCAAATTATTATTATTATTATTATTATTATTATTATTATTATTATTATTCTGGGGAATATTTCACGGGGGATCATTTTATAATTTTTATTTAATAATTTTAAAAAAAAAAATGATGCGTGGATTGACTTGAAAAAAAAACGGTGCTACAGTTGTACAATTTTTTTATAAAACTCAGCGTGTAATTATGCACAAAGTGAGATTGTTATTTTAGTATTAATATATCTTAGTTAAACATTGCTAATTTATTAGTGTAAAATTTTTTCTCATTTTTGTTTTTCCTTTTCTTTTAAATATTTGGAAAACAAGGAGATTATTTATTAAAAAAAATTTTTTTTTCCGTTTTTTTTTTTTTTTTCACTAAATGACATTATCTGAAAACTAGTCAATTCGATGTTTCCGATTTTGAGAAATCAAAGTCTTATATTATATGATATTGTAAAACAATATATAGCGCATTTTTGAATGTGAGAATATTAAAAAAAAAAAAAAAGAAAAAGCTTATCGCGAGACATGGTCACGGAGTGCCAGGACTATTTTTCTAAGTTGCAAATTGTAATAATAAATTAATGACGTTGCATTATCGTTATTAGAGAATATTTATAGTATATATATATTGAATATTTTAACTAGAAAAAAAAGCAATGGGACAAGAATAATGTTATAATAAATAAGTATAATAATTAATAATTATTATCAATTTGGTATATCAGCGATCAGTATAATCTCGCGATTGCTTCTTTGCAAAATATTTTTTTTTTTTTCTAGAAAAATTAGCTAAAAAAAAACAAAAAAAAAAAAATTATTATAATTGACGAGTTAATCAAGTTGTAGAGAAAGATAAAGAGAGAGGATCATGATGCACCGTTTGCACGAAGCGAAGTCGATTGATATTGATTATCATTTCCTTGAAATAATAACGATTATATTATTAAAAATAATGAACGAGTGGTCGAGATAACATTTATAGCAAAAGAAAAAAAAAAAAATAGCAAAAAAAATTTTTTTTTGCTATTTATAAAAACTGCAATTATTGTAGTGATGAAAAAAAAATGCGAAACGAGAGAAAAAAAAACATTATTATTATTATTATTTTTACTATAATTAAGAACGTAAAAAAAAAAAAAACTGTAACTTTCGTCTCAGAGATGAAAAAAAAAAATCATTCTATCAGTCACCTCACCTATATTATACAATGTCATTAATACTATGCTGCCATACGATATAAATATATGTCTACAATAAGGATCAGTATATTGCTAAAAAAAAAAAGTATTGCAAATAAATATGTTATAAGTACACGCCTCGAAAAAAAAAACCTCGTTGCTCCTCATTGTTTTTTTTTTAATTTAATTTTTTTTTTTTTCATTGATCTTCCATCGCGTTTTATCTCTTGGAGCAGACATATAAATATATAAATAAATATTATATATATACAATATGAGGAACAGAAACACTCGGCGTGTTTGAAATATTATTATTATTATTATTATTATTATTATTAAAAGAATGAAAAAAAAACGAAATAAAATTGCACGAAGCTTTTACCCTCGAGTGTTGAGAATTATAAAAATAAAATAAACACTTGAATCGTGTGCTCGCGTGCTTGAACGATTCAAAAAAAAAAATAAAAATAAATAAATAAATAAAAAAAATCTTCAATTTGATGTCATTTTAATGAAATGTACTGTTTTTCAAGCTTCAATTTTTCGTTTAATATATGAAACGTCAGTGATGCGTTCGATATTTATGCGATCAATGTAAAATAGTTCCGTAGGCAAAAGTCTTTGATTTAATAAAGAATTTATTAAAATTTTTTCAAATTTTCTTTAAAAAAAAAAAAAATAAAAAAGGAGATTTTTTTTTATTCTTTTTTTTGAAAATTATTTTTTGTGAGAAAATTTTTTGTTGTCTTTTTTGTGTTGCTTTCTATTAAGAGTACTTGCTCTATTAACCCATATTTTAGCGGAAGAAAATGTTTAATTTATATTTGCTGATAGTTTTATATAACACAATATTCACTGCATCTGAATTCATGTTGGATTCATTAAATAACTGAAACAAACTGGATTTTGTAGAAATATTTTTTTTTTTTAAATGAACGATTTTATTGCTCATTTCAGATAAACCAGTTTCAATGCTTTTATAATCCTTTTTTTTATGTTCGCGATTACAAAATTGTTAATTGATTGTATTATTTAATAGTATATATAATATTCTATTTTTAAATATATATTTTTTATTAAATTATATAATTTTTTATCGAATTAAAAAAATTAAATGCAGAAATATTTTTCAGTTTTTTTTCATTTCTAAAATATTTTATTTTTTTTTTAAATGGGCGTTTTTTTTACTACTGAATTACTATTGTTTTATTAGATTTATAATTTTACGTTTTATATACTCTTTATTTTATTAAGTGGAAAATAGTTTTCCACGAGGTAGTGAAAGTCACTGACAATATAATAGGCATCTAAATTATCATTATTAATAGCTATAGTGAACTCGTCACATTAAAAATTGCATCATGAAATGCGGGGACATTGAAGTTGCGTCAAGCGAAAGTTTTAACTAAAAGTATATATTTGTTGAAAACCAAATATAAAAAATTTTTTTAAAAAATATATTCAATTTTTATTATTTTATTCAATAATAAATTTATAATTTGTATTTTTTTTTTCTTATGGAATTCAGTTTAATTATTCTGAATTTAATGATTTTTTAAAATTTTAGTTATTAATTTTATTTTAATTAATTGGATTAATATTAATTAAAATGTTAGAAAAATTAATTAATTATATAAATAATAAATTATTTTATTTATATTAAAATAAAATTAAAGAATTTTGTTTTTTAAATTAATAATTATTTTTTTGAAACACTTCTTGGTATTTAGAGGAAGAAAGTGAGAGAAAAGGAGAAGATGAAGAGAAAGGTATTGCAGTTTAAGGAGGGAATAAAAAAAAAATCACACCTGGGATACTGCAGTCTACATATTATGATCAGTGTACAGTCTTTCTGTCTCCTTGGCCAGTTTATAAGGCAAACGACCTCATCAATATTATTATTCTACACTATTAATCATGATCAAAAAATATAATTTAATTTTCATTTCAATTATTCTTTTATCTCATATTCATCATTCTAATGGAATTCAATATAAACGTGAGTAAATAAAGAAATTGAATATAATTTTTTAATTATTAATTCATTTATTATTTATTAATAAAGAAATTTTATTTTCAGAAAGACTTTTAGAAAGAAGACATCGCATGATTCAAAGAAGATTAGCAGTTCGTGAAGAAAGCGCACCCAAAGTTTGTTTTGGTAAGTAAATATTAAAAAATTTATTTTTCAAAAAATAAAATTTTTGCAGTTTCCAATTTTTTTGAAATATTTAATTTATATTTTTATTTAGAAATTAATAAAAGTAATTGTTTTTCTAAACAGACTTGGTGGGATGTTTTGCTGATCCACCGCAATATTTAAGTTTAAAACGACCACCGCAGCATCCAAATGAAATAAAAACACGATTTTTATTATACACCCGAGAGGAGAGAAAAAATCCGGAAGTAATTAATTATGGTGATAAATCACAGTCAATTGGAAAATCACGTTATAATGCAACTAAAGGACTTAAAATCGTAATTCATGGTTATAAAGGCAGTGGCAGTGATTTGGGTGCCATAAAAGGAGCTCTCCTACTTCTTGATTTGGTATAAATTTATTTTTCCATTATCCTTTTTTTTTGAAGACATTTAAAAAAATATCAAAAATGAGATTTTTTTAAATTACTGCATTAAATTAAAAATTTTAATTAAAAAAATGAATTTTTTAAAAATTATAATTTTTTTTTGCCCTTATTTTTTTTTTTAGGAAGACACAAATGTCATTCTTCTCGATTGGACAAAAGGTGCGGGTGCATCGTACAGTACAGCAGTTGCAAATACCGAATTAGTTGGTCGTCAATTGGCACTGATATTATTGGATGTCATTAATATTGGAACAAATCAAAAGAAAATTCACATTATTGGTTTTAGTTTAGGAGCACATGTTGCGGGTTGTGCTTCCGAAATTTTAAAAAAACGTAATATTTTACTTGGTCGTATTACTGGATTAGATCCAGCATCGCCATTATTTAGAACACATTTATTGAGGGAAAAAGCACGTAAACTTGATTCATCAGACGCTGATCTTGTCGATGTTATTCATACGGATGGCTCAAAAGATTTTGCCGATGGTTTTGGTTTATTAAAACCAATTGGACATATTGATTTTTTTCCAAATGGAGGCAGAGAACAACCGGGATGCAGTGATGTGAAAAATTCCGTTGTTGTCAGTCATCTTAATGGTGAGAGAATAAATTTTTTTCTAATTGCTCGAAATTTATTTAAAAAAAAAAAATTCGAATTTAATTTTTTTTTATAAAAGGTGATTTCAATTAAATATTTTAATATTTAATTTATATAATTAGTTTATATTGAGTGAAAATTATACTTTCACATCAGGAACTACTGGTTTATTAGAGTAATTATTTTTTTTAGAGGATTTCCTGGATGGAAGCATTGCGTGCAGTCATGTGAGAGCTTGGCAACTTTTTGTCGCGAGTCTCGAGAGTCAAAAAGAGGAATGCAAATTAACAGCCTGGCCATGCAGAAAAGGAGGAATATCATTTGCTTTAGGAAATTGTTTTCCACCATTAGGAACTGAATGGATACAGGAAATGGGATATAAGGCTAACCATGGTCCCATGGGAGTTTATTATTTGGTTACGAGGGATGAAGCACCATTCTGCGGTATTCGATGATAATTAATCGGTTTTTTTTTTTCAAAATTATACTTTTTTAAAAATCTATATTTATTTATATAAATATTTATATAAATAAATTTTAAATCTCTTGAGGTGTGTACTGATGTCAACAAATTTGACGCTTGTGTCAAACACAAAGGACACGTTTTTAGGTGAACCGTTCCGAGCCATTGTTGAGATGATTCAAGGAACACCGAGGACTAGAGGACTCTTATTTTTGAAAATTGATAACGGAAATTCGTCAACGCTATTCAAGATTCCGTGCGAGTGAGAATTTAAATTCTCTCTTTTTTTTAAATGAAAATACGTTTTGTATTTATGTTTATTATTTTGTTTTGTAATTGCAATTTTTATATTTTATTATTTGTTTTTTTATTTTCTCTTTTTTTTTTTAGCAATTACGGCAGAAGGAACCAGACATTTAATTTTGGAAATATTGCTGCTACTGAATTTCGTTCAATTTCGAAAAATACTAATAAAATATATGGAAAACTTTGGTACAAACCGGAAGTAAATGAAGCTGAGAATAATACTACAACAGTGGAACCTGTTGGTCCAGCAATATTTATTAATAAAATTTCTATTGAAAATCGAATAGGCAATAGGTATTTTTGTTGAAAGAAATGTTTTTCATATTATCTAAAAATAAGTTAATTATTTAAACTACAATTTTTATTTATTAATTAATTTTTAAAATTTACTCACTTTGTGATTAAAAAAATTTTCTTCTCAACAGATGGGAATTTTGCAAAAGGAATACTGCGGTAGAAAATGCAGAACAGGATTTAATATTGCAAAATGGTATCTGCATTTTATAAAATATTTTACTCCAAAAAAAAAAAACATATACAATATAATTGTTTTGATATAGTAGAAAAGGTTTTTTAAATAAACATTTGAAAATGAGAAATAATGACTTTTAAACTTTTGCGTTATGTATAGATTATTAATTAATTATATCTATTTAGTTTTAATAAATAATTAATCGAAATTATTCATTTATAAACAAAACCACGTGACTTTGCCTAACCTAAAATGCATCTGTCAATAATTGACGAATTTATCCGAAGGTTTTTCGAAAGTTCCCGAACGTAAACGAATAGTACCGAAGAGATTGACGAATGACAACGAATTACACGAAGTTGCACGACTAAGTAATTGTGATAATTGCGGTGTTTTAATCGTTTTAAATGATTATTTAAACATTAAAATAATAAGAAAAGGTATAAAATTATTGAAATTTTGATTATATGTTTCTTTAATACACTTCTCTTTTATAATTATTCTGTATATCATTTTTTTACAGGAAATAATACAATAAAGGTTATGTAAAATTGAGAACCTAACCTAAAAATTCGAAAATTTAATTTACAATTTACAAATTTATAAAAAGAATGTCAATTCCTATTTTACGTTCTTTATTACTGTCACAACGATGTTCGTCACGAATTTTACAAAAGGTATGCTAATTTCTTTTTTACTATTTTAAAAAATAAAGGTAAATTTGTTTATTGAATTTCAATTTCATTTCATTATTAAAATCACTTAAAATTCTTGATAATGAATTTATAATTATGTAATTGCAAATTGAAATTATTGTAGGGAAGGAAAATAAATACAAGTAAAGCGTTATTCCAAAATCCGGTGAAAGATTCAAGTGAAAAGATTCAGAAAATAAAATTAGTAACATGGAAATCAGTTGCTGCTGGAGTAATAATTGGTGGTGGTTTTTTGGCATATATGTATAAATTAAAAAATGAAAAAGATTTACGTATACAACGTGAAAGAAGACGAGCTATTGGAAAAGCACAAATTGGAGGAACATTTGAACTTGTTCAATCTGATGGAAAACTTGTTAAATCAACTGATTTTCTTGGCAAATGGATGTTAATTTATTTTGGATTTACACATTGTCCTGATATTTGTCCTGAGGAACTTGAAAAATTGGCGTTAGTCGTCGATAAATTGGGTATTATGAAAAAATTGTTTAAAAATATTTTAAAAATTATTTTAAGATAATTTTTATATTATAGTTTACTAATTTTTTTCTCATTACTTATTAACTCTTTCAGAGAAAGAACACCAAGTGGAGGTTCAACCGATATTTATTTCCGTCGATCCTGATAGAGATACACCAGAACTTGTTGATAAATATACAAAAGAATTTTCGAGTAAACTTTTAGGTCTCACTGGCACAAAAGAACAAACTGATAAAGTTTGTAAAGCCTATAGAGTTTATTATAGTAATGGACCAAAGGATGTGGATAATGATTATATTGTTAGTATTTTTTTTTTTTTTTAATTTTTAAATGACTGAATTATTTATACTAATATAAAAATTTGATTTTCAGGTTGATCACACGATAATTATTTATTTGGTTGATCCTGATGGTTTATTTTTGGACTACTATGGTCAAGCTCATGATGCACAGCAAATAGTCAACAGTCTTTTAATGAATAAAAAGAAATATGAAAATATTAAAAAAGCTGATGAAGATGATGGTGGTGGTGTGTTATCGATTTTCGACAAAAAAAATAAAGAAGCAGTTTAATTGTTGATTGAAAATTAAATCAAGTATTTCTATTTTTTTTTTTACTGGTGATTCGTAAGACAATTTTATTTATATTTTTTTCTTTTCAATTTCTTTTAAAAGAAATTGTAAAAAAATTAAATTTAAAGACTATTTCAAATTAGATTTTAATTAATAGTCATAATAATAATAATTAGAAGTAAAAACAATTTTTATCACATAAAATTCTTTTTATTTCAATGCACAATACTTATTTAAGTTTGGCTATCGCATAGCATAAGAAACATTTACAATTCACAATCGTAACATATAAGTATACATACAATAATTATATATTAGAGAGCTTTCAAGGTACATTTTTTTCTGAGTCTTACATTTTAATTTGTTTTTGGCGGTGAAAAAAATGATACTATGTACAGTGATAAGGTTGATGCATTTAATTGTAAAAACCTTTGAATAAAAAAAAGAAAAATGAAAGCTATTCTTTTTTTTTTTTTTGAACACTCACTGGATGACACAACTAAAGCTTTGTAAATCTCAATTTCACTTTTTGAATCAGTCAGTGTTTAATTATTATTATTTTATAATCGAAGGGAGAAATGTTTCTCTCTCCGTGACAATAATATTAAATATCAAACGTATCTTATTTAATGCTAAAATACAATTTTACCATTAAATATTCGTCACATATATATATAAAAAAAACTTTTTTTTTTCCAATTTAACATTCAATAGTTAAGCAGATTTTTTAAATTTTAGTGCGCCTTTTTGTGTTTTTTTTTGTTGTTGCGAAATAAGTAAAAATCAGGATTGCGGTTGTTGATGCAAACTATGCAGCTCGTAAGCAAGTTGACAACATTCTGAATCACTCCAGCGATGTTGGTCTCGAATTCTCTCACCTTTCTCGAGAGCGGAAATTGCGGCGCTTGTAGACACTTCCGACATCTGGAAAAATTATTTATTTATAACTATATTAATTTCACGAGTCGTAAAAAATATTAACTAATTTTTTTTTCCATAATAATTATTTGAAAATAATTATAATTCTTATTTTTCATTTGAGAATAAAATTTAATAATAATTTTTAAAATTAAAATAATTATTTGGCAAATTTTCTATGTACAATTTAGTTATGTGAATTTGATTTCGATTTCCTTTCATAAAGATTAAATAGATTTTGATTGAACTTTATATTTGAGATTTTATCTATGCTGATATTGTCACGCTCATGGAAAGGACATCAATTTCTGATCAATAGTATTTTTGATTGCAGGAAAGTTGATTTTTTTTTTATTCTTGCATTTGTTAGCATTGAAGTATAATCATGGATTGAGAATAAATTTTCTTTTTTTTTGTTATAAAAATAAAAATGTAAATTATTGTTATATAAGTTATTAAATTATATAATGTTAATTTTTTAATTCTATTTTATTTTTTATAAAAAAAGTCTTTCAAAAATATTTTTTAAATTGTTTTTGGTTTCTTTTTTTTACTAATAGAATTTTTTGTTTTTTTATGTGCCTTTGGAATTCTTAAGAGTTTTCTCTTTTCAAACAAGATGACTTACATTTGAGCAAAAGGAGAGCAACGACTGGTCAGTGTATTTGCTGCACAGCGGTGACGTTTGATTTGCATTTTGGACACAATTTCCGGCTCCTGGACATGGACCATTTCCAACACCCTCGATGTAACCTCGACTACTTGTTAAACTGCCACCGCGCGTCCCAAGTCCAACATCTGAAGGTCAGTATAAATATTACACATTAGGTTTCATTTATCATTTGATAATTTTTTTCTTTTTTTTTTTTGCAGAAAACGAAATTCCATGCAGAAGAACTTCTAGGGTAAATATTAATATTAGTAATATTAGTAAATTATATTAATAATAAAATAGAATAGTATTAATAAAGAAAATTAATGTTAGAATTTTTTTTTACATTTTCAGAGCAAATGAGAGAAAAAAAAGGATTGTGTTATTATAAATATAAAAAATAAAGATGTGGTCAATCTCCCAGAAATCGTTCGATAAGGAAATTTCGAACTTGAGGATAGTTTTGAAGGATCAAAGAGACACCTTGTGTACTCGCCATCGAGTGAGATGAACGATGATGATGAAAATCTCGTTCACGGAAAATGCAAATGCAAGGTTTGTGCCACCATCTTGATTTACTTGATTTTCGCAATTTACTCGCGTTACAACTACATGTACTTCCGGAATGTGTTGAATGTCTTTGACCCCATCGTCCACCGCCACCTAATCGTGGCCACTTTCGACTTCTTAGAACACGTGAAACTTCCATTCGTACCTCGCCATTTAGAAAACAATATAGAACCGCAACAAAGAAACCCTTTTGAAAAAAAAGAATATATTTTTTTTTTCGTTTTAGAAAAAAGGAAATTACAGATTAATTATACTGATATAAAATAGAACACAGATTTTATCTTACTTGAAATGAGGCAAAAAATTGATCACAAAAAAGCCACACAATCTCGACAGTGTCATTTACACCTATACTGTATGACATGCCCAAAAATACAGTATAATGAACTCCAAAAAGTGGAACTAAAACTAGAGTACTTCTTGCCCATCGTCTGAAAATATTGAAAAAATTATTTTCTTTTACCAAAAAAAAATTGTTTTAATTACAAATAATTTAAAGTAATTAATGTTTTTTTTTACATTACTTTATTTCGTTTTATTTTCCTTTCATTTTATTTCTAAATGAGGAAAGAATCAAAAGAAATTTTTTTATATTGAAAGTCATCATGCAAAAAAAATTATAGCTTCTAGAATCACATTGAATAGATTGCATTCGGATAAAATTGATTTTGTTTTAATAATTGTATGTTTTTTTTTTTTTTTTTGAAATCAAAAGTATTAGATAATTACTGTTTTGAATTTATTTACTTAATTGCTAATTATTCTATATAGAAATAATTATAATTAATTAAAAATATTTTTTGCTTCTACAATTTTTATTCGAGGCAAATAAATTAATTTTAAATATATCAATTAATTATACTGAGTATTCAAAAAAATATATAAATTAATTTTAATTGAATGAAATTTTCAATTTGATTTTTTTTTTTTTTGTAACTCACTTGTATCTTTGAGTCTCCTCCGAAACTGTGGATTTTAATTTCGAAAGTAGCACACGCACAATATTCACGAATAGTACAAAATTTATCTGTAAATAATTTATTAATTATTGTTATTTGTAAATTTATTAATATTTCAATTATAATTTATAATTGTTAATTGAAAAATTAATTTCAATTAATTTAAAAAATCGCGATTATTTGCGAATTTTTTTTGTTTACACTTACTAAAATCGAGAGCATCGTAGGTATTCGTATGACTAGAAAAAGATATTCATTATTATCATTAGTTGTCCAACACAAAGTGTCATCAAAAACTGCTCGTAAAATAATCCAAGGTATTACAAAAATTGCCGGCATTCCTGTAAAGAAAAAAAAAAATTATTAGTATAAATTTGTATATAATTTGAAAGAGAAATATTTCAATTTCACATTCCACTTTGGAATATTTCCCCTCATATTTAAATGGAATATAATTAATTAATTAATTATTAATATTCTAATTAAATATTTTAAAAATTGCAAATTAATTATTCGTTTTAAAAAAGAAATTTTTTTTTTTCAGTGAAAAATTGAACAATTGGGAGAATTTTTACCCCATCCAAGAGCAATGTAGCCAGTGATGCTGGAATTGGAATCTGTGAATAATGCTAGAAAAACGAGATTGTGAAGATAGAGTCCCTCGATGAGAATCCATGAATAATTGGCAAGTATAAAATATTGCCAAATACTTGTGAATATTTTACATGACATTAAATCGGATTTTAAATATTGTTCACCATTCTTGACAATAATATCCGATGCTAATCCAATTCCCGATACAAAAAGCATATCCTTTAATAGGGCCATAAATGCTCTTGCCATAAATGATGCAAAAAGATGAATGTGTAAAATATTCCTTGGACATCTCAGCTTCCTACGTCCAATAAAGAAACACTTAAAATAATTATCTATTTAATAAATTAATTTAATTTTATAAATTGAATTGCTTCTAATTTTTTAATTAATATTTAATATAAATTAATTTAATTAGGAAAAAAAGAATTTATATCTCTTGAATTTTATATTTGTATCTCTCTATTCGCTTTTCATTTTATATATACATATATTCGGTTTAAGGTTTCCAATTAAAATGAACAATTATTTGTTTTTATTAAATATAAAAGTTTTGAAAAATTCGCTAAGAATTACAAATATGTGAATTGTTGTATAAAAAAAAAAATATTTTTTTAATTTTTAATAATTCTGTTTTCTTTTTTAAATTCTCATATGGCTTTTTATAATTTCCAATAATGAGAATTTTTTTTCTTTTTTGAAAAGTGAGATTTAGTTCTCTTAACACATTATTTTTCATCCTAGAAGAAGTTAAAGATTCTTATTAGTAGCACGTATTTCTCCTAGTCAATTGGAATGTAGGACCTCGGCTTCCTCATAACTCTCCTCAGGCTCCAAAAGCATTCAACACTTCCTATTTTTTTTTCTTTTTTTTTTTTTTTATTTCATAATTAACTCGGCCCATTTGATAAAATGTCAAACGTTCGATCAATAATTTGGCTTTTTTTTTCTTTTTTATTCTTCTACAATTTTATTTTGTTCTCTAAATTGATTCGCATGTTTTATTTATTTTTTAAGTTTCCAATTTTTTTTTTTTTTATAATTAATTATAGAATTAATATATTTGTGAGAAAAAAATGTTAAAAATTCAAGAGATTTGAATTTTTTAAAATTCAATTCTATTTTCTATAAATTTTATTTAAAAAAAAATTTTTTCTAAAAAAGGATTTAAAAATAAATATTATAAATATTATTTATACTTACTTGATGGCTGCCAAAATGCAAAATGCAACAACTAACGTTGAAAATGAAAATGCATATCCAACTTTTGATATTGCTTTAATAATTGGTAGATATTTCTGAAAATTAAATTAAAATTAATTATTATTGATTTGTATCATTAATTATTTCATATGGAATATTCATATCGAAATAAAGAGAATAATATTCTGTTATTATAATAAAATAATATTGAAAATAAAAATATTTCTGTAAATTGGAAAATTTTTTTTTCTCAAAAATATTTTTATTTTTCTGAAGCAAAAATATATTTTCTGTAAATTATAAAAAAAATTCATATTTTATAATTTTTTTTTTTCTAAATTCTTGTAAATGGAAGTCATTTTTTTAACAGGGTAAAAAAAACTTGTAAAAAGATCTCTCTTTTGCCATCATTTTTCTTTAAGCTTTTGTATCCAATAACGTTTCTGACGACAACATGTCGCACTTTTCCAAGTATTTTCTAAGAACTTGTAATTTTCATCTTTTTTTCTATTTCTGTATATCAAGTATATATATTGATAAGGGGGAAATTTATCAATTTTTTTCCCTTATATTAGAGAATAATATGACACCTTAATATATATAGGGTGAAATTGAAAAAAAATTATGTTTCATTTTGAAAATTATTTATCGAAATAGTAAATTTTTTTTTCTTTTTATTTAATTATTTATTTTTGTTGTACGGATAAATATTTTTAAAAATAAAGTCTTTCTTTCTCTCTAACTTGAGCAAAGCATTCAAACAAGTTTATCCTGAAAGAAAGCAAAGGACCAAAAAATAATGAAAGAAAATGTACACCGGCTTATATAATATAATATAAAAAGAAAAAATTTATTGACTCTTTTAGTATCCAATTTTGTAAAATAAAATTTAATAATTTGACATTTTCTCAGAAACGGTCCATTTTTTCTACTATATATAATAATGATGAAAGACAATAAAAAATTGTGAGCGTGAAATTTTTTTTTTTTAATCATCAAAAAAGCGTTTGAGAATAGGAATATTTTTTCCGGAATATTGTATAAAGAATATTTTTTGGAATATTTTTTTAAATTCTGAAATATTTTACAAAAATTTCATAGGTAATTTTTTATTTTTTTTTTTTATAAAAAATGATATATTTTTTTAAATTGTTAAAACATTAATCAATCATGGAATAAATGATTTTTTATTTTTTTTAGAATTTACTGGAACTGGATCAAGTGATTCTGATTTATGTGAAAATAACAGCAATGTTTCAGAACAAATCTGTGTATATTCTTCTGTGTACACACTTGAAGATTTGTATCTATATATATATGTGTGTGAACACATATTTAGCTGGCGTATAAATTTCAAAAAATATCTGGCACGTACGTTTTCGCATTTGCTCTTACACTCGATTAACTGCATACTGAGAATGAATTTTACCGAAGCAAAAAGGAACAAATGAATGTTATTCCATTGAGACAAATCTCTATATAGCACTTATATGGCTAGAAGTTAGATTCATTTTTGCTCTTCCCCCCCATTCTCGTTTTTTTTTCTCTCTCTCTTTGCTCATCCCGAAAAAAAACTTTTTATATATAAGAAATGTATAAAAATCTCGAGAGTAATGCAATTGCACTTTCTAATCATATTATATTCTCGTGGTTTTTTTTTTTTCGAAATTTATCGAGTCATAATTTTTAATCTATTATAGAAAAAATGAATTATTTTTTTAATTTCATGCAAGATTTTTAAAAATCAATATTTTTTTGATGCAATTTTTAAATTTAACAGAAATTGAAATTTATTATTTTTTTTCGCCTTTTTTTAATTTGAAAAAAAATTTGTTCTTTTAGTGACTTTATTTTTGAAGTTATCTGTCCACCGTTTTTTTTTTAGAGCAATATTGGAAAATATATTTGTTATTTAAAATTATAAAATATTCATCACTCGGAAGAATAGGAGATGATTATTTTTTTTCCAACAGTTTACTTTCCATTTTATTTTAGTTTTCTGTCACTTTATTTTATAAATATACATATATTTAGTATATATTTTTTAGTATTTTTCATTTTTATATTTTTATTCATTTCTTTGTATATTACTATATCATCATAGTAAATACATATATAGAAATGTATATCCAACAGATTGTAGAATATCCGTTTTTTATAATAAAGTTGCTAAGGAGAATAATAAATTCGTTGAACGCCAAGCAAACTGTGTCACCCAACTCATCTTGGGTCTGACGGATTTTATATGAATCTGGAGAAAAAGTGCTTTAAACTACTATTCTCCATTACAGTATATTATTATTATATTGTATAGTAATATTATATATTTCTTAAATTATTAACCTTTTTATATAAATTATTAATTATAATAATTATAAAATATTATAAATTATTAATTTATTATAATATATAATAAACCGAAAAAAAATTATTTCGTTCAAATAAATATTAATTTGGTAATAGACAAGTAAACAATTATTTGAACCAAATAAATTTTTTATAGTTATATATATATTTAATTACTAGTAAATAATTAAATAATTATTTATTATTATTATTACTATTACAATTACTATTAATTTTTGTCAATTTGATTTAAATAATCATTTTTTTTTAATTAAAAATTTTATTTTTATTTCTTTTATTAAATTATTATTATATTATTTCTTTTGCTTGGAAAATTATTATTTATATAATTTATTATATTATTATTTATTATTATTATTATTATTACAATTACTATTAATTTTTGTCAATTTGATTTAAATAATCTTTTTTTTTAATTAAATTTTATTTTTATTTCTTTTATTAAATTATTATTATATTATTTCATTTAGCTTGGAAAATTATTATTTGCTATACCCGAATTCAATTTGGAGCAAAGAAACAATAAATGTTCAGTTTCCATGAAAAGAAGTTTTTATTTGGGAAAATTGGATTTTAACTTATTTCAATGGACTTTTCAATTTTTCTCTTATTCGTTTTTTTAGAATGAATGTGTTTTCTCTGATAATTTTTCTTTTATAATGGGTTTATATATAGAAGAGGAATATTTATAACTCACATGTCTTAGTGTTGCATTATCTGACGAAAGGTCTCGAATGTCCATTAATACAGTAACAAGTGAGGTGTGATAACATTGAGTATAATTTGTCCAGGTACTATTAGTCTCTGCTGTTTGGTACCATTGACCATCTGATAAGCATTGCCTAGTTGCATTTCCCTTTAAAAAAAAAATGAATAAATTTTTATTAGTAATTTTTTAATTATACAAAAAGAATTTTATTTTATTTTTTTTTTTTAGTAAATAAATTTGCCTCCTTTATTTCACTTTTAATTATTTGAAAATTTTATTATAGAAAATTTATTATTAATTTATTTATTAGTATTGTTAATAATAAAAAATAATATTTTTTATATTATAAATAATAAAAATAATATTTTTTATATTATTAATAATAAAAATAATATTTTTTTAGATTATTAATATTAAAAAATATTTTTTTATTAATTTTACAAATGAAATCAAATTGTTATAAGAGTTGAAAGTTTTTCTCTTCATTTATTATATTTGAAAATTGTTATTAGTGAACATTTTGTATTATATGGAATTTATTGATCTTTTTTTTCCTTATATATAATATTATTATTTTGAGATATATGAAATAAAAGAAAATAATAAATACCCTTGTATCGAAACCTGCGATATAATGTGGACATGGTTGGACGGCCAATTCATTTGGTGCAGTTGCTGGCCAACAGAGAATTTCATCCCATGTCTGCGGACACCAGCCTGTAATATCAGTGATATAAATTACTTAGTAGTTTTTTCATTAGGTACTTTTTTGATAACGCAAAAAAAAAATGAAAAGTTTTCTTTTTTAATTTTTTTTTTAGATTTAGAAAGATTTTTTTTTATTATTTATTATTTTTTTATTATTTATTTTTTTTATTAATTATTTTTTTCAAAAAAAAGAATTTTCTATATAAATTTACATAAAGTAGATACTATTTTTTTTAAATTATTTTTTTGAATATTATTTTTTTAAAAAAAGGTATTAAAAAAAATTTTTTTCAAAATTAAGTCGCAGTCAAAAAATCTCTCTCTCTCTCTCTCTCTATCTTTTTTTATATTCCCTCAGCATATAAAAATTCAATTTCACTCTTGGGATAAAAGCATTAGTTATACCTTGTTTTACCAGATTCAAGAGTGAGTAATTTATAACCCTTCTACTTGAAATCAATTAGTGCAGTATCAGAATACAAAATTGAATTTTTCAAATGCATCAAACTATGCAAAGCAAAATGTGTATTGACAAACGCTATATACATATAAGATTTATACGTTCCTTGTTTTATATGCGCTTTCTTTTTTTTTTTTTTATTTTCCCTCAAAAAAAATATATATATATTCCCATAAATATTTTTAAAAAATATTTCAGGAATATTTTTTGTAATATTTGGGGGAATATTTTTTTTTGAATATTTGTAGAAATATGGAAGGAATATCTTAGGAAATATTCACCAAAGAATATTTTATGAATATTCCTTGAAATAATTGTAGGAATATCTCAAGAAATATTCTTTAAAATATATTGTATGAATATGTTTTGTAATATTTTGTAAAATATTTCTTGGAATATTTTTTGGAATATTTTTTTTAATATTTTATGGAATATTTTCTTAATATTTCGGGTAATATTTTGTAAATATTCCTTGGAATATTTTTTAGAATATTTTTTTAATATTTTATGGAATATTTTCTTAATATTTCGGGTAATATTTTGTATAAATATTTCTTGGAATATTTTTTAAATATTTTATGGAATATTTTCTTAATATTTCGGGTAATATTTTGTAAATATTCCTTGGAATATTTGTATGAATATTTTATGGAATATTTTCTTAATATTTCGGGTAATATTTTGTAAATATTCCTTGGAATATTTTTTGGAATATTTTTTTAAATATTTTATGGAATATTTTCTTAATATTTCGGGTAATATTTTTTAAATATTCCTTGGAATATTTGTATGAATATCCTAAGAAATATTTCGAAATAATTTGTGAATATTTTGAATAATCCAAAGGAATATTTTTTGAACATTTTTTGGAATATTTTTTGGAGTATTTTCTTAATATTTTTGTAAATATTTTTTCGAATATTTTAGAGGAATATTCTTTGATAATATATTATTGTGATAAAAAATATTTCTCTATATCGTTTAAAAAATATTGAAATAATTCAAAATATTCCTTTGGAATATATTAATTAATATTTACTTTAATATATATTCAGTGATATAATTTTTGTTTTAACTTTTATAATGATAAAATGGTCTTAAGGGAGAACTGTCTTATGAGATTTACCTAATGTTGTTTGAATAGAAATAGAAATTCATTGAAACCACAACCACCCGTGTGTGACATTCCATTTGCTCGAATGAACCCACATTTATGTGAAATGTCATATATTTATATAGAATTTCTATTATACTATTGAAAAAGAAATTTTTTTTTAAAAAACGTTTTTTAAAGTATTTTCAATATTAAAAATAAATAAATAACAATTTAACAAGAATTTCCTTGTGACATTTACCAATGGAATATTTTTTTTCCAATATTCTATTGGTGAATGTAGAATATTTTATAAATTATTGTGGGTGTAATATTCCATATATGGAATATTTAGAATCTATTATTGGAATATTCAATGAAAAATATTCGTATATAATATTTCTTTTCAAATATTGTACAAAAAAAATATTTTTCGGATATTTAAAAATAATATTTTTGAAATATTACCAAAAAAATACTGGAATATTTCAAAAAAAATATTTTTCGTATATTCCAAAAGAATATTCCTATTTTTTATAATTATTATTTTATGAAAATAGAAAATTAGTATTTTTTCAAAATTTAAAATTCCAAAAAAATAAATAATATTCCGTGTTATCGTGATTAAAAAAAAATATTATTAATAAATTATCAAAATAGCAAACAAAACTTTGAATATTTTGAAATGAGTTATAAATATATATAAAAAATGTACTAAATCTAGGAACAGAAGTTTGTTAGTTTTTGAATTTATATTTCGGGGATTAATAAATAAAAAAAAAAAAACAAAATGCATTACAAATTATAAAACTGTCTACTTTCGTATACACATTTACGTAACTTCCTATATATATTGTTGATATATATATATATATATATAAAAGCAGATAGTATTAAATTTACGTTCATTTGAATGTCGTCTAACACAATTTTCATTTATGTAAATTAATGTAAATGTTTAATGTTCCCCATTTTTGTAGAGATAAATGTAGACAATATTACTTTACACGAAGGGGATAATTTGGCCTGTGAAAATTTCAATTTGTATTCAAAATGATTTAAATCTAGAATGATAACAATAATATATATATATAGGTATATAGCGTTTCATCTTTCATAAAATGCGTGTGATTTTTTTTTTCTTCTTTAAAAAGAGATAATATTTTTTTTTTGCGTAACCAATATAGATATCAATTAAAATTTTTTTTTTGATCAATCAATTTACAATTTCCTCGATTTATTTTTATTGAGAAAACAAATAAAAATTATTTTATTTAATTATTATTATTACATTATTTATTACATTATTATTATTTATTTTTTTATTTATTTTTATAAATAAAATAAATTGTGAAAAAAATGTTTTTTAATCTGTTTTGATTTTTTATTTATAAATAAATAATAATTATAAAAAAAAAATAATAACAAGAACAATAACAATAATACAAAAATAAATATTTATTGTTATTAATAATATTTTTTTTAAATATATTTCTTTATAAAAATAATTGATAAATTTAATTGAATTTAATATTTCCAAAATTGTATAGTTAGCATTATAAACATTAAATAAAAAGTTAATTAAATCTCTCATGAGAAGAGGGAGAGCTTTAGGTATTCAAATGTCTGACTAAATCTGGCTGTATCTACTTAGAAGGCCAGAGGAGACTTTGTTCTTCACTTTCCTTTCCATTTTGATTAAATTAAAATCTTTCCTTTATAAGGTATATATATTTTTAAACCAGTAGCTCAAGTTAATTGAACAATAATAAATTTATTTAGTATTATTAATTATTTTTATTATTATTATTAAATTTTTATTATTAATTATAAAATTAATTATTATTAAATTTTTATTATTAAATTATTATAAAATTAATTATTATTAAATTTTCATTATTAAATTATTATAAAATTAATTATTATTAAATTATCATTAAATTATCATTAAATTATTATAAAATTAATTATTACCTATTAATTAATTTATTTATTTAAAAAAAAAATATTGCATTAAAAATTATTAAAAAAAATAATATTATTGTTTATAAAGAAAATTAAATTCTGATTTTTATCGTATCACACGTGAGTAGTGGGTACGGCTATTATCTCTCTTTTTCTCTCTTACGTTAATGTTCGTATATATAGTAATTCGACGAATTTTACCCTATTTAGAAGATAATCCACAAAATACTTAAAGTCACGCTATATTCAAATGCTGATAAACAGCAGTATGTAATTAAATTGAATTAATTGTTGAATTAAATTTTTTTTTTTCTTGAAAATTTACTATATTACTAATATTAGTTTAATATGAATAATTATTTAATATTATAATTATAATTAAAAATAATTTTTTTATTTACAATTAAATCAAATATAATATAAAGAGAAAAATAAAATAATTATTATTTTTAAATTAAATGAGTAAAAAATCGTTTTCATTTCTCTTATGTAGTTTATTATTATATATAGTTTGGCTATAATTGTAGGGTTGTATTTGTCCTGCAATTATCGTTTAATTAAACTATTATTGATCATTCGGTAAAATTAATTATACCAAAGCCATTTTGAGCTGTTTAATTTACTATAAAAGGAAGATAATTATAATTTTTTAAATTATTATTCTTTTTTTTATAATTAAAATGCTAAAAAATGTAATTTAGAAAAAATTTATTCAATATTTATTATTATTTTTATTAATTAATTAATTTATTTATTTATTATTATTTATTAATTAAGCTTCAGCCTTTCGGCCCAGAAGTGGACTTGGTTTAATATACAAAATTAAAAAAATATAATTTATTTATTTATTAATATTTTCTTTAATGGAATTAAATATTTATTTCTATTTTTATTTTATAGTTGGTTTACTTAAATAAATAAGAAATAAATATTGTATGTGTGTATAAATTTGTCACTTTATAATAAATCGTAAAAATTTGCATGTGTATTATAAGTGATAAAACGTGTCGTTTATGATAATTTTATCTTCACGTTTATTGCTTTCTCTTCACATAGGACATTAAACTTTTATATTTATTGCATATGCAGGAAAATTGAAAGGGGTTAATTATTGTATAATATTGCACAAAGCATTGAGTTTTTTTTTTTTTAGAATTCTTTGTTTTTTAATCCAAAAACCAAAATTCTATTTAAAAAAAAATTTCTTATATCAAAAAAGTAGATAAAAAAAATAATAATCCCCACTCACCAGGCAATGAATTAAATATGGGCTGACAATTTTTCGCTTGATTTTCCCTTATCGTCTCCTGCATTTTTTCACTATTAAAATCTCCGTCCTCCTGTTGAAAAAAAATATAGTAATTAGCAAAAAAAATTTTTTATAATCATATAATTATTTATTATTATTTATAATATAATAAATATATAAATAAATAATAATTAATTAATTAATTATCGTAAATAAAATTTGTATATCTAAAAAAATAATTTACTTATTTAATAATTAATAATTAATAATTAATAATTTTAATTAAAAATTTTTTTTAAAAATCAGATTTTCGATTTAACAAAAAAGATAAATTAATATAAATTTTGTGTTGAATTGCTCATTTTCCTTAAGTAAGATCGATTATTCCAGGTCACTTTCTTGAAATAAACTTGTCAAATCACACTGCCAACGTATACAACGTATATATATGCTAAGTACGTGAATTGTGTAATATGCATCGCAAAATAGGTATATAAAAATTTTCCTTTCAGAAGGAATATAATAAGTCAATAGCACTTTTTTTCAAAAAAGAAATAATATAACAAAAGATGTGAAAAAAAATTGAAAATTTGAAAATTTTCAATAATATGTAAATTTCATCATAAATATAAAAAAATGAAGAAAAAATGATAAAAAAAATACATATTATTAGGAATTAATTTCTTTTAAAATTAATTTCATTAGAATTTAATCTTTATATATGTTTAATCACATTAAAAGTTATTTCGGGTCCATGGGAACTGAATAAAATCTTTTTAATTTTATTACGAGTCGCGCCTGTTGTCTTAACTTTTCAAATCCGTTTATAGACGCAGTAAACATTTTCTATTCTTATTTTTTAATTGTTAAAACAACCCGTGTGGAAAAAGCCACGATCTTGCCCTCAAGAGTTCGGGGCCCCCGGCGGGGGCCCATGAGGGCTGATCCATATGGCGAATCCATGAGGGGCACCGTAGGGGCCCCGCATGGATCGCCCTCATGATCGATTAGCAAAATTTTCTAAGTCCAAAAATCAAATATTTTTTTATCACCAAAAAATTAATGTTTATAATGATTCAGAACAACGAAAAACGCGTTTTTAATAAAAATATATTTACACTTTTTTGAAAATAACACTCACACTTATGGCAAAATAGATGAGGGCCACCGTAGGGGCCCGCATGGATCGCCCTCATGATCGATTAGCAAAATTTTCTAAGTCCACAAATCAAATATTTTTTTATCACCAAAAAATTAATGTTTATAATGATTCAGAACAACGAAAAACGCGTTTTTAATAAAAATATACCCAGGTGCGAATTGTCGGTCGGCCCATGGTCGGGCCGACCATGTGCATGGTCGGCCCACCTCGGGCAGCCAGAGGTCGGGCCAACTAGCGAATTGATAACGTCGGCCGACCTATGGTCGACTAAGTTGGACCGACTATGGGTACCATAGTCGGGCCGACCAAGGCTGCCCTAGTTGGGCCGACCATCCTTGCCGACGGTCGGCAGCCATAGTCGGGCCGACCATGGCAGCCATAGTTGGGCCAACCTTGGCTGCCGACCATCCAACTTGACGGTCGGCAGCCATAGTCGGCCCGACTAAGGCAGCCGAGGTCGGCCCAACTATGGCTGCCATGGTCGGCCCGACTATGGCTGCCGACCGTCGGCTATGATAGTCGGCCCAACTATGGCAGCCTTGGTCGGCCCGACTATGGCTGCCGATGGTCGGGCCAACTAGCGAATTGATAACGTCGGCCGACCTATGGTCGACTAAGTCGGGCCAACTATGGGTACCATAGTTGGGCCGACCTTGGCTGCCGACCATCCAACTTGACGGTCGGCAGCCATAGTCGGCCCGACTATGGCTGCCATGGTTGGGCCAACCTTGGCAGCTAAAATTTTGCCGACCATAAACATTAAAATATAAAAATTTGTTATACAAATAACATATATTAGTAATCATTTTAAATTCATTATACATTTATTTTATATACTTAAACACTAAACGCAATCGTAAACATACATATATACAAATTAAAATTTTTAACGCTCGCAGGGATCGAACTCGCAACCTAACGCACCGCAGTCTAATACGCTAACCACTACACTACGCAATGACATATGAGTCACGGAGAAAAATAAATGTTATAAGCTACAGCTTGAAAAAAATTAAAGTTAGTAATTCAAAATAATAAATTAATCACATATAACCTTTTTTCTTTTTAAATTAATCAATTACAAGTAAATTAACAAAAACATTTTACATTTGTCAATGGTAGGAGAGAAATTTACTTTATGATGGTCGGCCCAACTATGGCAGCCAAGGTTGGACCGACCTTGGCTGCCAAGGTCGTACCGACCATTGTCCCCCATGGTCGGCCCAACTATGGCAGCCAAGGTTGGCCCAACTATGGCTGCCAAGGTTGTGCCAACCATTTTCCCCTTAGTCGGCCCAACTGTGGCTGCCATAGTTGGACCGACTATGGGGAAGAATGGTCGGCCCAACTATGGCAGCCACAGTTGGGCCAACCATGGCTGCCAAGGTTGTGCCGACCATTACCCCCATGGTCGGCCCAACTATGGCAGCCATGGTTGGCCCAACTGTGGCTGCCATAGTTGGACCGACCATTACCCCCCCTGGTCGGCCCAACTATGGCAGCCAAGGTTGGCCCAACTATGGCTGCCAAGGTTGTGCCGACCATAATCCCCCATAGTCGGCCCAACTATGGCTGCAATGGTCGGCCCAACTGTGACTGCCGACGTCGGCAGCCATAGTCGGCCCAACTTTGGGTGCAAATATTTACCATGGTCGGCCCAACTCTGGCTGCCGACCGGTCGGCAGCCAGAGTTGGGCCGACCATGGGCCGACGAACCAACTCTGGCGGCCGACCGAAATTCGCACCTGGGTATTTACACTTTTTTGAAAATAACACTCACACTTATGGCAAAATAGATGAGGGCCACCGTAGGGGCCCGCATGGATCGCCCTCATGATCGATTAGCAAAATTTTCTAAGTCCAAAAATCAAATATTTTTTTATCAACAAAAAATGAATGTTTCCAATGATTCAAAACAACGAAAAACGCGTTTTTAATAAAAATATATTTACACTTTTTTGAAAATAACACTCACACTTATGGCAAAATAGATGAGGGCCACCGTAGGGGCCCGCATGGATCGCCCTCATGATCGATTAGCAAAATTTTCTAAGTCCAAAAATCAAATATTTTTTTATCAACAAAAAATGAATGTTTCCAATGATTCAAAACATCGAAAAACGCGTTTTTAATAAAAATATATTTACACTTTTTTTGAAAATTCACCTGAGATGATTCATGATAATAATCATAAAGCATATAATTATTTATATTTTATAAATTGCTTTTATTTGGAAAATATAATTTAATATCTTAACTTTAACTAAATGATGTTAAGCACTTTTCTTTGTTAGGTATTTTTGAAGTTTAAATAGCATCAAGAAGTTAGCATTCGTTTTGAAGTAGCGTGCGTAGCGTAGTTGGTAAAGCGTTAGACTCATAGTCCGTAGGTCGTAGGTTCGATTCCCCCCATGCGTTAGATTTATTTATTTCTCAGGTTTGCGTTTAATCATTAATTCTATGTATGAATTAATTGAAAAATGAAAATATCCGTTAATAGTATGCATAAATTACATATTTTTTAATTTTTTAATTAATTAATTTATTATTACTTTTAATTATATCCGACAGTTAATTAATTAGAACGTTAATTAATAAATTCAATTTGAGTAAGAATTTAATTTAAAATTGAATAATTATTAAATAAATATGTTATTTATTCATAACTTAAGCTTATTTATTATTAATTAACTTTTATTATTAATATTATTGATTAAAAAACATTATGGCAAACTTGAGGGCAAGATGAGGGCAAACGTGAGGGCCCATAAGGGCGCCCGTAGGGGCACCCTCATGGATCGCCCATGCGGGCGCCCTCATCGATGAGCATGTCGTTTCCATGAGGGGCCCCTATGGATCATCCATATGCGGCCCTCATGGCATGAGGGCGATCCATAAGGGCCCCCGCTGGGGGCCCACATCACTTTTCCACACGGGAATTTGAAAATTTAAAAAAAAAAAAATAATTTCGTATAATAAATTATTAATAAATTATAATAATTACAAAATAATTATTTATATTATCATATAAATAAATAAATATATATATATATATAAATATATATAAATATAAATTTCAGATGAATGAAATAATTAATTATTATCCCGTTATAGTGAATAACAAACAAATATTCCGCTCCTTGTGAATAAATAAATAAATTTGTTTTCGAATTTTTGGTGCCAGAAAAAATATTTTGAAGGCATAAAAAATCAATTATAGTTATAGCAATATATATATAGTGTTCAATAGAAAGTCAATGTATATATATATATATAGATGACTTGCGGTTTAATTTATTAAGAGCTTTGCAAAAAGACTTTATGACGTTATCAAGGGTTCTAAGAGCCCTTCAGATAATTATATAGATAAAAATAATTACCCCCTCTCATAGAAACCGCCCTTTTTCTAATCATTCGCAATATATCGTAATCCGTATATAAAAAAAAATCTCATTTTTATCAAAATTTTCTTTTCTTTTTTTTAATCAAATTTTTTCTTCTAATATTTAAAAATTAGAATCAATAAAATATTACTATAATAAATTGTAAGGAAAAAATTATTTTTTTGCAAGAAAAAATTGTTAATATTTCAAAAAAAAGACGTTTATAGTCACTTATACCATCACTTTATAGTGATGATAAGACTCATATTGTATATACACTGTAAAAATACAAAACTATAATATAAGAATTTATCAAATATATAAAATGGGTGGGAAAAAAAAGAAATGTTAAAATACTTCGTTTTTATACACTCTATAATCTTGTTTTAAGTAAAATATGAGTGTTTCTTTTAAATTCATGAAACGACTCTTAACCCATTTTTCATATGGAAATGTAAAACAGAGAAAGAATAATATTGTGAATCTTATTGTGAACGCGAGAAAAGAACTTGAGTCCCTTCTTTCAACACGCGTGTAAAAGACATA